CTTCTGGGAAGGTACTTGGATCCCTAGGGGATGTTGCTTGTTGTTCCGGCATGAGTCCTTTTACTCTACTCTTGGAGTCCTTGGAGCATCCAACATGTTGTTTCCAGTATACAAACCGTTTTGGTCGAACTAAAGTGCAATAGGCTACAAAGATGAGTGGGTTGAGGACGGACTGCTGCCCTCCTCTGAGCCAGTCCTACCCACAAAAAACATCGGACCCCCCAAGAAATGGGTCAAGTTGACCTTGGCTCAAATTGAAACGGGTTGGATGGATTGCGATACCATAGACTTCCAAGACCAGTAACACAAATGGCGGACCTGGTTTTGTAGTGCAAAATCCTTAATTCAACAATTGTGGTTCGGTAAAGACAAATGGTGGTTGGAAGCCTGGCGGGGATAGTTATGATTTTCTGGTGGTCGTGATGGTGAAGAATTACCGACAGTGGTGAAGAACCGCGATGTTCACGTTGATGTCTCTGTTTTATCGATGCTCATTGGAACTATTTGGAACTCCTGAGGTACTAAAAGGGGTATAGCCGGTATAGCTTGCAATTGTTGCTTTATGGTGGATTGAGAGTAAATGGCACAGACCCCATCTGTCGGGTGCTTTATATGCACCCCCATCTGTCGAACGGACATCATGGGGGTCATATGGGGTCTGTGCCGTCTACTGTTGCTTTTCAATTGGAGCTGTTGCCCTAGGGATCCAGTCGTACCTTCTCAGAAGGTACCACTGGACCCGACCATGGCACCTACATGTCTCAGTGTCTCCGTCCTCACCGTACCTGAGGTTCGGTACGAAAACGGATCCCTAGGGTTGGCCGTTGTTTGACAGTGTTGGTTCCCTCGCCGTCCGGCGGGTCCTGCACAGTGGACTCCACATGATTGGGAGTGGAGCTAGACATGGAATTGAACAACATGTGTGTGTACAGTGTATTCTCCTAGGGCCAGTCACATCCTCAGCTTCGTTGGTTGGTTGGCATGCCAGGGGGGTCCTGCATTCCTACCTGTATCTTCTTTGGGGATGTGGGACCGGAGCCCTATAAAGTTCTCCAAATCGATGAGGTCCAGGGGACCTTTCTCAAAACAGAAGCCAGCTGACACAACTCTCCCTTGATGCAACGGAAAGCTCATGATAAGGCCTTACTGGCAGACTGCACTTGTAGAACATTGTAGAAGTATGTGTGTACCCTGGGAGTCAAAGACCATTAAAACAATGGTTGACCTGGTTTTTGTATTCTAAAATCCTTAGTTGATTGGGTAAAGCCTATTAAATTAATGGTTGTTGGAAGCCTAGGGTGTAGCAACGATAGAACTTCGTGAGGTGGAAGGTGGATGGGGGCCAGAAAAGTGGATGACACGAAGGACGTTTGCTTGTCCTGCACTTATGGCTCCCAGCTCATCATGCTGTGGTACAAGCGATCTTCATAGATGCCGCTCGTGCCCTGGCGTCAAATGCAAGGTAGCATTTTGGCCGGGTCAAGTACACCAAGTGGTGACTCTTTCAACACCAAACCTTTGCTTTTCTTGTAGGCAAACAACACTGGGCATTGATCTTCTCAGCGGGCTCTGTGCTTCTCTTTGGAGGAGTTACAAGTCCTATAGTTCAAGCCAGTTCACGAAAAGAACCCGAAAAGCCCAGAAGTGCCTTGGACAAATGAGATGTTTTGTTGGCGTAAAGGATGGAAAAGTAATCCGCTTGAATGATCTCTATATCTTCTATACAGGGAAGATTTAACACATGAAACATTATATTAACTATATATTATGTTATATTCACATGTTGCACATATATTCACATACCAAAGCCTACAAAATACATACCAAACAATTTCCAAGATTGCAGTTTCACCAACTGCTTGGTGTGCCGAAACATCATTTGGTGAGTTCTCTTCACAATGCAAATTAACAAGCTCCATCTACACAGGAGGAGTCCGAGTTAGCTAACCTTCAACTACTTGGCACAAACACTTCTATCATGCAAGATAGATCATACTTATAGTCATACTTTCAGGTCTCTGGTCACTTGAATCAACTCACCAACTCATCACATCCGAGAATCCGAACGAACGACCCTTTCTGCGACTCGTCACGTCTCTCCCCTCGGCGCTGATGATGCCCCTCGGCCTCTGGCAGGGTGACCCGTGGAGCCTGTGCAGCACGGAGCGAAGCGATGCGGAGCACTCAGTGGGAGAGGTGAGTGGGGTGAGTGGGGTGGAGTGGCGTGGGGTGGGGGGAGAGGTCTGTGAACGGAACGTGAGGAACATGGGTGGATGGACGGGGTTCCGCAGGGGGGATTAACAACCCCCATATGCATGAAGAGGTTCTATACCATCCTTGAATGGGGGCTATATAGATCATCATTCTATCCTAAAGAATCTACCTCTTAGCAGGAGTCCGGCCCGAACCAAGCCCGAAGCTCATTTCAAGACCCAGATTCTCAGGCATCAATGGATGATGTTGGAAGTCCTATTCAAAAAGTTTGGGGCACATCTACAATAATGTTCGGGTCGATTTTGGTGGGGAAATTCTGAGTGAGGATGTTGAGTGAGGATGATAGGCCGGACGAGTGCTGGACACAAGTCTTCATATATCGGACGATTGGATCCAATTCGATCCGCTGAGTCGCTGGACTTTTCTGCTTAGGGCTGTTTCCTGCTTCCAACGACCAAAGCCCACCCCAGCTCTCTCAAGCAAAGCTCAACTATACATGATTGTGGGATACGTCCCAGATGAAACATATTAATCACACACATAAAACCACACAAACTCGATTAGGGAGACACCCTGGTCGTGGCTGGGTAGACTGGCCTCTTTTCCTTCTTTTTAGAGGATCGAACTGCGAGGTCCTGCAGTCTTCTCATGTCCTGCAACCCCCAAAAAAACTCCACACGTTCCTGCGCGGGCACAACACTCCGGCCCATCTCTTTTGCATCCGCCCATCGGTCACGGATCCGCCGTGCAGGTCCGTCCGCCTCGCAGAGAGGTCCGACGGCCGGCCAGCTTCAAGCATGAGAAGAAAGCTATGCCGCAAGCGTGAATCCCTGACTGATAGGGTTCTAGTAAATCCGTGGTTCAAGTGAATCCCTCATCCAACAACACGTTTCTTGGGCAGTCCGCCTACTCTCACCCAAAGTTTGTGAGGTCCAACGTAGTCCAAGAGCGGGCCATGACTCGTGGAACTCGAGTCTACCCTCCGAAATCATCACGAAACCTCGTGGATGGGCCCCAAGGTTTAGGAAGACCATGCGTCCTGTGGTGCCATCCTAAAAAAATATGATTCTTTAAAAGCAGATACAAGGAGCATTCTTCTCCCAAAGGCTCAGCTCCCTCCTTTCACGTGGATCCAGCTGCCATTTCTGGCAGTTGGGAGTGAAAAAACATCCTCGACTGGAGGGAAAAAACAAAATACACAAAGTACTGCTTGGAAACCCAAGAAACCAACAAACAATTGGATGTTTCGTCAAACAACCCCCCTATAAAAACCCCTTAGTCATGTAAAGGATCATGAGGTGCCCCATGTGTTTCTGTTTGTTTGGCAGGTGGCAGCAGTGGCAGCCGCTGTGTACTGCACACCATCCTCGAAACTGATCTGATTTTGCGCCTCGCGGCACGGCCGCTGCACAGCACCCGTTGCAGGCGCGACCGCTGCGGCGACCCAGACTGCGGCCGCCTCGTCCGCGCTTGCGAGTCGAGGGGTTCTGGGAAAGCCCTGATTCCGGGTGAAATTGGAGGTATCCCAAAGAAGCACCCAGTGAAAGAACGTGTTATTCTTTTTCCTGAAGTTCTTTTGGCTTCGTGGTTTAGTATTGGGTGTGATTACTGGAGTGTGATCCAAAGTTCTTTCAAACCGGGTACTTCCAGATCGACTTTCACGAGCCTCAGTCCATGTCTTCACCTTGAGAGGCCAGAGGTCATGTAGACTCTTGATTTGATAAGCCTCCTCCGTTTGGATTGAACAACCTCTTCATGTATTCTTCATGAACATGAAGAGGTGTTTCAATCCAGGGAGGTTGATTGGTCAGATCTCAAGAGTTTTCTGCGAGGCTTTACTAATCAAAAGTCTTCCATGGCCGACCGCCAGGCACCCTGACTTCCCCCCCCGCACACTGGCCCCCATTGGGCCCAACGCCCTGTTTTGCGCCCGTTGCGATTGTACAACGGCGGAAAAAGGGCACCTGCGATGATCACTGTGAATTACAGAGTCAACGCAGCAGGTGCAGGAGGTAGGTAACAGTTAGCAGGGCAGTGCTCGTGGATGAGAAGATTTGTTGGATGTATGTATAGGTGATCTTTTGCATGGGTCTCTACTGGACTGCCAAGATATCATGTAGCAGCTATAGCATATCTCGCAGTTCCAAACTGATTCATTGCTGCCAAAAACAGTGCCCGGTGCTTTGAAGGCAAAAAACAAGAGAGCCTCTGGATGTCTACCTCGGCGCTGTGTGTCGCGGCCTGTGCCAGTCTCGGATTCCGAAAGGTCAGAACCCCCCTGAGATGGCACCGAAACCACGTTTTGGGTGGATCGATCCACAACCCATTCACGGTCTGCGTACACACGGACCACGCGCCAAGCTGACGTAGTTGGCGTCAGGCGATCCATCCAGGAGTTCATCTCCTGCATCGATGAAAGGCACAGGTGACCCTTGAGAATCTACATTACAGAGCTCCAAAGCTTCCAGGACACCAAGCTTGCAATCGCATGTGAACATTCTGAGAAATCGTGTGCTACATGCATCTCCATTCCTAACCAACTGATTGCACTCCTAGAGACAGATGGGCTCCTTCTTGCATCTGGGGCCCTTGGATGCAGCGATTGAGCTGGTCTCTAAGCCGATTAATTAGCTTTCTCCAACCACAGGTGTCCTGGCCATGTTTTTCTTGCGCCCTGGTGCATCTCGCCTTCGTCTTCCACACCCACTGACCCACCTTTCTCCACCGAGTATCCACACCGCCGCGTCCCCAGGTCCGCCGTTCCGCCCGCGTCCCCCGCCGCGTCCTCAGAGTGACATCGGCGCACGTGTCCGCAGCTCCAAGATGGAACCCGTTCCGCGCTCCGCGGAGGTCTGTCGCCGTGGCCTGCCATTGGTCTGGCGACGTGTGTGTGTGTGTGTGTGTGAAGGAGCCCTAAAAAACAAAGATCTTAAGCTGTTATAAATGTTAGAAAGTCACACTATAGAGGGTTAATAAATCACATTTGTGGGGAAGGATAAACACTTACTGCAGTAATTGTAGACATGTGGCAAGTTAGAACCAGAGAGTGAGGGAAATCTGAAGGGCTCACATGTATTGAAATGTTTTCACTTGTTTCTACATGCAGGATGCTTTTCGAGTGACCCCGGTCGTGAAAAAGGGAGGGAGACTTCCCCTGTGTCGGAAGGTACGAAGGATGCGATTCACTCGAGATCCCGAGCCGACGGAGCCGAGAACAAAAGAAGTCGACCTGGTCAAAAAGGCCCCTGCCCGAGGTTCATGTTCAACCTAAACCTCGATGGTTTCAGCTAAAAGTCGGCCTCTGTTGAGCTTTCAGTTGAGCTTTTAGCCTTAAACCTGTAACAATGAGAAAATGTCCAAGCAACGCAGTGAATCTTAGAGGGACAACCATCTGTTTTTACGACCTCCAACGGCCCTCGGTTCGGTCCGGTGGTTTGGAGGTGGGTCGCTGGGGGTCTCTTCGACCACCGGTCACCTGAGGATGGCATGGGCCGAGACCATCGGAGCCCTATACGGTTGAGCACTCCGGAAACCGCTCCAGCGCTCCGGGTGGAGCGACCCAGCGCCAGGCCACGCGCTATAGCTTGACGGTTCGGCGCATTCGGCGCCTCTCGCCGCTCCGACTGCTGCTGCGGCTCCGGGTGCGTCGCACGTTCAGGGTCGCCAGGTTGCCTCGGGTCCGCGGCGCGCTTCGTTGAGCGCGGTCTGATGGGGCGGGAGTGAGGGCGCACGGAGGGCGAGAGGAGTGCAGCGTTCCAAAAAGAACCGACGCCGCGAAGCATTTTTCGGGGAGTCCATACAGTATGGTGAAACGGATTTCTCGAGTTGTTGAGGGGGCAAAAGGAAGGGTGAGTCACGTAACAACAGGATTCTAAGCGATTCAAGACTAGTGGATGGTGGACACCTTTCAAAACTCGCAGTTGGGGAGATTCATTCATGTTACCACCCTAGGGCTCCAACTATATCCTTAGAAGGTGGTTAGACCCGGCCAAATCCCACCCCAACAGGAGGTAATTAGCTGGAGCCCTAGGGCAAATAAACAACCCTTTAAACTTTAGGGTCTTAGGGGTCCTGGTTTTCTTTAAGACGGCGCGAGAAATTCGCACAGACCTAAGGTCATGCCGAGGTTCCATGCGTCAACCTGGAACTTGGAGTAGAAGGAACCACGCGCAGGACCTGCGCTGCGCTGCGGTGGGGAGAGTCAAGAAGACAGGGTGATGGTGGTGGTCAATGAATCTATGACAGTCAAGTGCATGTTTTTTTAGATATTACCCTCAATGAAAGTTGTTCTACAGTATTTCTTGGAGAGCACCAGAAAAATTATCCCCGTGCATATACAGTATTACAGTATGTGGTTCAAAGGCCGCATAAAAACAAACATTGAAACCCGAGTATCAAATTTAGTCATACCTGCATCCGCAAAAGTACGCCGAATGATTGTTGTTTCCAAAATTCAGTGATGGTTCAAACAAATATCTTATACATCTTTGACTTGTTTGTTCCATGCACGAAGATCCAAACGGGCACAAAACAAGGAGTGGCGGTCTGAAACAACATTGATCCTTGGAAATCTTCCGCCAAACTACCCCAGGCCCAGTGGATCCCAGACTATATATGCAAAGTATCTAAGGAATTCCAATTCTTTCGCTTGGTGGAGCTGGTTTTAGGTGAGCTGGAACCACAGGGATTCCCAACGTTCCTGCTTTACCTGAATCCCATGGGTGACCGTGATATTTCCTCCATCGATCCTCGCCGCGCGGGATGAGCGGGTCGCACCTTCAGCGTGCCGACCAGGTCGTTGAGCACCTCATCCTTCCTGGCTGGACCCCACGACCAATGCGCGGTCGGATGAGAAGGGAAGCCGAATGAGTTTGGACCCTGGTCGGACGCATGGAAAAAGGAAGGGCGGGGGTTTGGCCGGAAATCCCTTTTTGGGGGGATGGTTGAAATTTGTTTGGTACGACTATAGACTCTCCAAATTATGCCAATGCCAGTGCCTCCAATCACTCTCAACAGAGAGGCTGGGCGCCTAAATCCATGGAGAGTTGAGTGAATCAGTCCCTACACCAGGGAAGATTGACATGGAACCTCAAATATGCACCTTTGGAAGACGATTTTCCTCTGTTCCATGTTAATCTTTCAGGGGGTACAAGTCAGTGAATGACCTCATCAGGCAGAAATGTCTTCTGACACGAGTGATGCGATACACCAGTTCATGCTCATCCTGAAGGGACTGGGTGGGCCTTGGGACCTTTTGTGCTTGCAAGCTAGAGTAAAGCACGACATCATCTCTAACGCAAATATGTCATCCACTGGTTCCTGGAACTTTGGCAACAAAAGAACATTGTCTTGCATGAGAGTGCGCGCCAATTCTCTTTTTGTGGCACCCCCTTTCCAACATGAACACTTCAATGTTCATGCTTTGGAGTGAACATTGAGCCCAGCTGGCCGGTTCTGCATCCCACATAGGACAGCTGGCTCCGGACCATCTGCTGAACCGGAACGCTCCGGACCGCTTTTGGCCGGTCCACAGAGCGGATTCGCCCAAGACTCTGGAGCGTCACCTGCACATCCGCCATGGAGATGCCCAGCAGGTCCACGTTCTCCTCGGTGGTGAGCACCCGGATCCCCAAAGCATCCGGGCTTGGAAGGTGACCACTCGTGGTTTGGTTGGTTGTTTTTTTCTTTGAGTCCTTTTGACTGGTCTAACCCAAGTAGCCCAAATCGCTTTGGAGACTGGTTCTGGTGGGGTGGGTCTTTCAACGAAGTCCCAACAAACAAACAAACACACGCCTGCCTTCCCAACTAACAAACAAACACACGCCTGCCTTCCTTAAAGCCTTAAGCAAACAAAATCAGCAGATCCACTGTATCTTAATCTATTCGAAAGAGGATTTATTTGATCCACTTCACTTCAGTATCTTAGGCCTTAATCTGATTCATCATCCTCCGCCCTCGCCCTCGTCATGGCATCGTCGAGGCGCCAGTTGCATGGTGAAGGGCGTCGCCTCATCGGTCCAGGAGTTGATCATCTCCTGCAGCTGTCGACCTCCAGCGATGAACGCGACCGCGAAGCGAACGTGTCGGGAGCGCGGTTGGGAGAGGAAGGTCGACTGGTTGAGGTGGACGGACGGATGTTGTTTTGGCGTCAAACAATTGGAAGGAGGAAGGTTGTACGACTTGGTTTCCTGGAGCTGTGGCGATGGTGTTGGACTTGGAGCTGTGAAAGGGACCGGACCGTGTGTGGTTTTGTTCAACTTGTTAGGTGCTTTCCAGTATGTTCTGTGTCGTACCAACATAAACTTGAGGAAACAAACACTCTGACGTATAAAATCATTAGTATTTATAATGCCTATAAAATTATTATGTCCAGGTATGTCCAGGTATTGAGAATTGCATGAAGTTCAATGACCAAAGGTTGATGCGTGTCACGCGGACCGTCAGGACGGACACGCCACGTTCGCCCGACCCGACCGTGCTCAACGGGTCACCCGGTGCGAGTGGCTCAGTGAGCTTGGCCCAGTGCTTTTCGACAGGTCGAAGACATTCATGCCACTCCTGAGAGCTGACACTGTGGCTGATGGCTGAAGCGAATGGTGTTAAAAACCATTCAAAAAACCACCTGAGTTAAAGACAAGAACGGGCAACATCTGTGGTGTTCGTCGGAACATGTCGCAACAATATACACCAGCCACGCTTCAGGCACAATGGTGTAAACGTGTGCCACCTGAGTCGAAACCGAACACAAGCCACGTCAAATACCAAGATGGCTATCCTGGCTATCCTCCATCTACTCACATAGATCCTCAACTGATGTTTTCCACAAACGAGCCGTTGAACCCGAATCAGCTGGTTAAACTTAGTCTTTGTGCAATGACAAAGCTTGTTTGGTTAAATTTAGACAATTTCAACGTCAAAGTTCAACTTTGCCTTTGATCGCTAGGGAATCAGCATTCGGCATATCAAACACTTAACTTGCTTAGCGTACAAAGTCACCTCCAGTCAGAGTCATCATCAAACTCAAAAATAAAAACTGGCAGTATGTTCTGCAGTCTTCCGAACACTTTGCCTCACAAAACACCCAGGAAATTCACGGAAATGGTCCGTTCGCATGTCCTAGCTGTTCTTACAGGAACTCCAATGTGGTGGCATCCATCCACCACCAACATAAGATAAAAACAACACAAACAAAAGCCCCGGCATCCAGCTTTTCCACCACATCCATCCGCCCCAGCTTGCTGCCAGAGGATCTCGAGGTCCAAAGACATTCCACGACTGGAGCAAAGGCGTCCGATGCCGCTGCCGACGGCGAGGACATCGAAACTGCTCGCATTGAAAAGGACCTTGTGGAACTGCCGCGAGGGAGACAGAGCGCAAGCGACGCGGTCGCAGCGACGCGGTCGGTCCAAGTGCGACGCCAGTGTGGCCGGAGAGTCTTCAGAGCTCTGAAACTGTTTGTTCAACTAGATGGGCTGATCACTATCTTTGGGACAGGCAGGAATGTGGAAGTGAGTGTCAAAACATTCTGTTCACCAGTCGTGATTAAGACAGGCAAAGAAGATGGACAATATAGAACACAAACACATGTACACCTGAAGGTGTCTGCAAACATGCAGACACAAAATTGAACATTCTAGAACCACAAAAGGGCCAAATCTCCTTCACATAGAGTGATTTCAGAGTCAGAGTAGATGGCACACACACACACACACCAATGCCGGTGATTTATATTATGGACCCTCATCGAACAAGGACATCTTGGGGAAGATGGGGGGAAAGTGGCATTGAAGCTCTGAAACCACGAGTACCAATAAAGTTGGGATCTCGTTTTCCTCATGTTGGGCACCCATTTCCAGATGTGCGGTCCATTAACAAAGACGGAGAAGGCCCTGTGGGATCAGTGGTCCTTCATCTGTACAGGATGATTGGGTCGATGGTCTACCCCTCTTCGTTGTTCCAAAGCAACGGAATCTCTTGGGTCTATCCTAATACCTGTAACAGTGGATGATGATGGTTAGCAAAGGCCTTGTTGAAAAATAGTGATGTTCTTGTTTACTGACTGTTACAGGTAATAGGACAAACCCAAGGAATCTCAAACAAGCGACGGTCGCATCCTCCGGCAAAGCCACAGGCTCTGGTATGAACGCTCCAGCCTGGGAAAAACCGGAAACTCCACCAAACCGCGAGGAAGGCTGGGGCGGAATGACCCTTCCAACAAGCATGGAAAAGAAAACAAATCCCTGGAAAAAAGCATGAACATCTCTCTATAAACAAATGTGTTTTTTCTCCAATTCTGTGAATATTTCAGGGAGCGTGTTGGGTGTCTCCCGCACTCTTCTTTGCCCAAGGGGATCCAGGCAAAACACGAGTTCGTTATCAGTGACGAAAAGAACCATCGACCGAAATGCCTCTAGAATCCCGGCTTGGGACCACATTAGTCCCCAATATTCCTACTGTAGGGGTCCAGTCTTACCGAACCTCAGGTTCGGTACGGCTGGACCCTCATGGCCTACACAACGATGTCTCCAATCACTGAACCTGAGTTTCGGTACGACAGGATGCCTATAGGGAGAGAGTGTATAGTCCTACCGTGAAAAGTCCCCAAGATGCGTCGTACAGCCACATCCCACAGGTCCAGGTCTCCCAAGCCTCAGGTTCCTTATCAAAAACTCCAGAGCTGACTCCAGCTGCGTCTTTTTCTGCAGCTGTGTCTGTATACGTTGACTTTTTTTTTGGGATTCCCCACATAAAAACTGCTTTTCAATCCAATGCATGTCTTGCTGGGGGGTATCATTAGATCCAAGAGATCTCTGCATTCTTCCCCCCAAATCCCCCCCATCTCTCCCCCAAATCCCGACCGTCTCCGATCTCGACCCCCGGACCCCCGTCCCTCCTCTCCCCCTCGTTCCGTCTTGCCAAACCCGGGACCCCAGGAGGTCTCAAAGAAACCGAGCGACCGAGTCCATGGAGTGCATCTCCTGGACGACCACGGAGCCCAAATCCTGGAACTCCCGCATCCTCGGCGGAGCGTCCGCGGCGAGAGCGAAGCACACACAGCGGAGGCGAGGCGGAGCGAGCGGGGCGGACACGACGGCGGAGCTGGTTTCGCGGTGTTGCTATTTCGAACAACATAGGGCTCCAACCACATCCTGAGAAGATGGTTGCGGTGGGTTTGGGGGGTCTGGATATGGTTGAAGCCCTAGGGTATATAATTACCGCCTTTTGTTGGGTGAGCAGTGTGGAACTTTCTGAGGGTGCAAGGCGTGACCACTTGTATGACTCCCGTAATGACTGGGCTCACCTGTATGACCACAAGAAACTCTCAGCAATACCAGACAGGCTTCTTTCGGGCCTCTGGATCAGTTAACGTCTCAAGAGCTTGGTAGACTGAAGCCGCCTCCAAGCGCTTGCCGACTTTGTCGGACTTGAAGCGCTTGCCGGTTGAATGCAAACTTTATCTCATCGAACGTAGCTGTAGGCTCCACAAGAAGAACTGCGTATAGAGAGACTTCCGGAGCATCACGAATCGGTGCAAATTATAGAAGTGCACGTGTCAAGTTGTACTTGCGAGATCTGGCGAGTATCTCTCACCACCGTTTGCATCACTGATGTATAGCATTAAATGGAACTGGTTGATTGACATACAAGCAAGCAGTGTGTTCATTGCCTTACCAAGTCACACAAAGTCATGAAACATCATGAAACCCTCAAAAAATCTCAAACAACTGCAGAATACATTTTGAATGTCTCTACCCTGGTTTGAAGACCCTGAACCTTCCACAAAATACGACCATGCCCCCTGGTGCTGCCCAGGTTCCCCACCAGACGGCAGACTTGACCGTTCGGATTTCGAAACCTCGGTTTCGCAGCGATGGGAGCCCGCTTTCTTCGCGTCGATGGAGATGCAGATGCTGCGCAACGAGACTGCGCGACGCATGGGGCGTGCACCCATCCAGGGGACGAAATTGGCTTACCCAAACACTCCATGGGATTGGCGTAAATTTAACCTACTGTACTACAGGGGTGGTTTGAGGGGTCTGGTGGGCATACATTCCAGTCCCATTAGTCGTGTCTGGCTTGGACAAAACCTTGGCGCGCCGCCCTCCGGTGCGAACATCGCCCACTCGAAGTCGCCCGAACATCGGCGAAACCCATGAGAAGGATGCTTTCTGGCTCAATCAAGACCTCAAGAGGCGAAAAACCCAGGTCTCTTCATGGTTGGCGGGTGCCACTATAGTACCAGTATACCCGTGAATCCAAGTCCCCAAGCTTTACAACTCCATGATGAACTGCCAGCAAAAATATAAGCTTGGCCCTGCATGGCTTTGAAAGTGTGGGCAACCTGTGTTTCCCGAGTAGTATGGGGTAGTGAATGAAATTCCATGCCTTGTAAGGTGCTGGCAAGTCTCAGTGTTTTACCAGAATCAAACTATGATCTCTTCGACAAAAGTTTCTGATGGGGTCATGCCTTGCTATGTTGATTTGCAACAAACAGAACACAACTCAGACTTGCTAGGTGTCACGTGTTCCATCATCTTTTTCTCATTGCACTACTCTCAATTACCAGTGGCCCTCAAAACCATGAAAACACCAGAGTTTTCACATACAAACACCATGATCTTTGCTGGGGAACACCCAGTTTTTGCCTGGCTTGCTGGGGCTCCTGCTAGTCACTATACCACCAGGTCCACCTTTCTTACAGTCCTTGGGTCCTCGGTCTGCCTCTTGCTCCCTCATCGCGTCGCCTCCTGGCGTTCGCAACGTCCAAGCCGCCGGATGTGCAGCAGCTCCACACGGACCTCGACGCAGGAGCGCTCTCCCACACGGAGCAGTCGCGCGCGTAGGCGGGGTGTCGGGGTCGTGGCGGGACGCCGTCTCGACGCCAAGTGACCAGGTTGCCCAAACAATCCAACATCCGTGCATTCAACGCCAGCGTATTCTTGCTGCCAGTGCTCAAGGACTCCTATACCAAGCTCGACGCACAAACGACTCTTGGATGGCTTTGAGCCCAAAGACGGGTGGCGGTTTTTGGAGGGTTGAGGCGGAACCAAAGCACGCATCTTTGAAGGATCTTTCAGTCCTGTATGGACAGTATCTCGTTTGAAACCGTCATGCTAAAATCGATGGTCTTGGGAACTTGAGGACCATCCTAAAAGCTTCCAAACACATCAATCTGAATCAAACAATGTTTAAAGCATTCTTAAAATCATTCAACACACAATATACAACACACAATGTTAAAAAGGCCATATAGTACGTCATCCCAGTTGACCAGTCCTCGATATGATCACGATCCTCAGGAGTGAAAAAATTCAAGAACTCGCTCCCCGCTAGGCCTCACCGCAAAGGCTCGATCCGGTTGTCTTCTTCCTTTGGTGTATTTCTATTAACAGTCGTGAATGGCCCACGTTTGATTTTACGGCCTTGACATGCCTTGAAATCATCCTTTGACCGAACAACCAAATTGATTTACTTCATTAAGGATTTGTTTACACTGTTTTCAGCCGGATCCAATCAAACATGGTTTTTAAGGATATGCTTTAGGCCTTTGAGTGGTACTTGAACGCTTGGGTCGGAGCCAAACCAATCCTGGGCTCGCATTCTAAGGATGGGAAGATATATGAAGACCCTCACCTTGACCACATGTGCACTGATTTGGTTGCATTTCTGATAGCTTTTGTCTCCATGACAAGCTCTGCAAAGCAAATGTGTTCACAAAACCCAATCAATGTGCCATGGCCTCGCCCCTAACCTGAGGTACCATCTACAGTAAGGAATATATACTGCAACCACAGAAACCACCTGCGGTGCACCCGAATTATGCCAAACCCATGGGGACGACGATCAAACGAACGACTCGCCTCCGGCAGAGATGCCGTGGCCGTGGAGGAGCATGGTGGAGAGTTGTCGGGAGTCCTGGTGGCCCCGGGCGAGTCGGGAGCCCAAGCAGTAGGGCCGGGCCTCCAATGGGGCCTCCAATGGGCTCCCACTACATCAGGCGGTTTGGGTGTGGGGATGTGTCCATGGTCAGGACATGAGAAAGTACGACCGACCTGTGGCACTGAGATGCGGTCAAGCAGTCGCAGCTGGCAGCAGGTTTCGCAAACAGGAGAGGAAGCGTTCATAAATGGGCTTCTAACCGAAAGGCTTTCACATATGCTCATTGCATGATCTTGCCCCCAAGTGACGTGTGTACAGATTCATGACACACCACCTGCATCTGCATTTCTCCAAGGCCAACGGCTCCTTTCAATTCAATTATACGCCAGGGGCTTTAACAATCAGCTGACGTCTAATTAAGAGGATGTGAACCCCTTAAATTGAACTTAAACATTCAATGTAGTACTTCACAATCAGCAATAAATTTCAATAAATTTCAATAAGTTCGTTGGGCTGTTGCCAAACCCTTCATCTGTGGCAAAAGCCCACAACCGCCAGCTGAAGGATCCCCCCGTCCCCCGTCCTCGGTCAAGGTCAAGGTGTCCTCCTCGACCTGCCGTGTCTCAGTGATTTTGGACCTCCCAACCTTCACCTGAATGTCGACTCTATAAAAAAGATCATATAACAATACTCCGTTACTCCCCCCAATTGAATGGGAAATCCTCTTCAGGCCTGGGGGTTGAAATACACATCAAGAGTCCGCATGACACTTGATTTTTGGGTCCATCAATCCGTTCCGCAGCAGGCTGGGCCGTTCCCTAATAGTGACCTCTCTGCTCGGGTCAAGTAAGTTCACTACCTTCCAGGCCTTGCTCTCAAGTTCGGCCCGTGATTCGCAGGAATGGCCGACTTCCTTTGGGGGAGGGTCAGCCCCCGGCCTGGTTCCTCTTCTTTGGGCCTCCGTTTTGGGGGGGGTCAGCCACCAAGAATACCATTCTGGTCGTCTTGCAGAGCTACATTGGAGGTCCAGGTTCTCTTCTTCCTCATCTTCATGGCATGGCAAACACCACTGCTCTCTCCCTCCCAGCTCTCTGCCTCCACCACCGCATCACAGAATCCCAGCAGTAAGGAGGAGACGGCTTCCAACTCAATAGTGCCTGGGGTCAGCAACTTCCAGGTCTAGTGCCGAGTCGGGCCGACATAGTCGGGCTTCTGAGCTTGTTGAGTATGTATTTTTGTGCGCAACAAACTGTGTAAATATGAATAAAGACCTGATTCTCTTGAAGTGAGTGGGGAGCAGGGACCGAAGGAGGAGTCCGATAGTTAATTCTTCCAGAGATTCCTCTCTCGGGACTCCTGATCCGCTTCCCGATCCGCTGGGGAAGCATCATCATGCTGGGAAAAAGAATCCTGTTTCATGGCAAACATGTTCCTTTCCAACATCTTAGGTGAAAAGCACAGCATAGCCCACAGTCTTTGTTTTCAGTAGGTTCTGTTGGAGCACTTCAAATTTGAGACGGAGACACTGGAACTGCATGTCTTAGGTGTCTCAAAGACTCTGATGCCAAGGACCGAAGTGGCTCCAAATCCTGATCCCCCCCTGATCCCTTCTCCCCATTCCGGATGAGCCAGTCTCCATAGATGACACAGGTGGACTGGGGAGTGGTTGGATCCATCGAACCTCATGAACCTAACTGATGCATCGCCAACACTGATGAACCAGTCTGGATGACCAGGTGGCGGGTCTTTAAATCAAAGCTCATCTTCACGTTTTGGAAGATCTGCTGCCGGATCGACAGGATCCCTGGCCGGATCGATCGGTCCGGGTTTTAGGACGGTCCGAGTTGGGGTAGCGGCCGCATGGGCGACGTTGGAGAGGATCCATGTACGGCTAGATATGTGGATCCACTGCCCTCCGAGATGGTGCTTGGAGACACTCTTTCATCTCTTTTCATGCATAATCGTTTTGCAGTCTTTCTTTTTTGGAGGGTCCAGTCGTTCCTTCTGACCACGTCAGAAGGACATGGGTGAGGCCAACTGATGGCACCGGTCTCGGGGGGACTCCTCCAACAACACCCTGGACCTTGGCCTGACTCGGCTTCCTCGGCCCCTCGGGTGTGAAGCGGTAGGTTACTCATTCCCGTCCCCAAGTGAGGTTGAACATTCAATTCTCTGAAACCACCACCCAGGTGAGGTGTCGAAAGGGCACTTGGAATCCCTGGTGACGTGATGTGTTCTCTTTGTACCCTGTTGAAAGGACAGACTCTGCACTCCCTCTGCTCTGCAGTGCTTGCAGTATGGTCTGTCAGAGGCAAGACTCTACGCTCAAGCATCAAATGAAACAGAAAAGGATTGGAAGGACCAGGAATTGCAATCATTTGAAGGAACCAGCAGGGCAGTGCTCTGCTTGTTCTTAATATGTAAATTGATTGGAGGGAACTTGTTGTTTGCTTGCCTGGGGGCACCAGCACCAAGACACCAAAAGGTGGACAACAAGGACAGGTGAAGTTGGATGAGAACCTGTTGGAGAAAAAAGATGCCGCTGATCACCACATTAAATCAAGCAGTGCAAGTCCGCTTTACGAAAAGCAAATAGCTTTCAGCGCTTGTGGAGCTGTTGACCTGAAGACCGGCGATGGGCCTCCCAGAACGATGCCCAGCATGGCAGATTGCTCCGCAAAGGTGCTGCTTTGGAGCTGGAAGTCCACATGTTTCAGTGCTAAGATCCAATGGACCTCATCGGTCGAAAGGTCCAGCCTCTTGCCAAGATCATGTGGGGGGGGTGCTTTTGGATCTTCAAAGACCTGCAGCCTTTTGGGGCCACCTACGCGTCAAAGCTTCTTCCCGGGTCTTCTAGAAAGGCCAAACCCCACAAATACTTCGGACACATCCTGCAAGAAGATTAAGCTTTGACCAGTCTCCCATATGGCTGTGTGTGCAAACCCGGGGGCACCCAGAAAGAACACATCTCTGTAATCCTCTGTAATCCGGGGATGTCAAATGATGTCAAGCTCCAATTGGTTTGGTGCGACACGTCTTGACGAAACCAACCGAATGGACTCGTGCCAGGTCCGGAACACCCCACGAGTGCCGCAAGACACAGCAGTGTGTTATAGTCTTCTTCCGCAAGCGCGGCACACCAGCCCACACCTTCGGGATAGGCACTCCCGCCCCCTCCCGCCCGCGCATTTTTCGCACGTGTGAGGTGCGCGTGTTACGCCCAGGAGCGAGATTGCCCAGAATGGCCCACCAAGCATGCTTTGGAACCAAACCTGTGGAAGCGATCGGCTGGCTGGTGGTGATTCGATGCGCACGATGTTTTCTCACGAAGCGCTTTTGGGAGCAAAAACCGATATCGCATCAAGCTGGATCACATCACCACACTCACTCATCACACCACACACACACACACAACACGTGCTGCAAGTTGTAGCCCTCTGGTCCCAGCCTACTAAGAAGCGGGGCAGCAGGGTGATCAAGCTCATCGAGTACACCTCTTCCGGCGCACATAAGATGATCGGCAGTATGGAAAGCCCTTGATTCACCACATACCTCGGCGCCGAGCAGCGAAGACCAGGATACGCCAGGACATCCGACTCGATGAACTGGGGGGAAACATCCAACTCGGTGGATGGGCCACCACTGGGTCAGACCCTTCGAGATCTGATTGAAAGCCATTAGGGAAGGTTCTATAACCACCAAGGACGGACACGGTTCATTGGATAAGATGACACTTAACATGTGCAGAAACTGCTTGAAGGAGGCCTCAGGTCATTCAGAAGAAAACAAGAAAAACCCATCACACTATATACCTTATATGTAAGAGGTACTGTAGGAGGTATACCTCAGGTATGAGGGAACTGGATGCCTGGACTACAGGGGTCAACTCCTTCGTTGTTGGGCTACTGATTCCTTTCTGACGCTTCTGGAGACTGACACTAAAGGGTGCCCCTCTTTGCTGAGAAAGATGATCCTGCTTCTCCAACCGTCTCTAAAGATACCAATGGGACATCTATTGGGTATATCCCATTACGAGTCACAAGTAGATGATGATTGCAAAGGCCTACAAAGAAGTTAGTAAAGGGGTATGTCCCGCCAAAAGTTCGTGAAGGTGAAGGCCTTTCCCTCATAATATCTTCGCGACGGCTACATTGGTAATGGCTACATATAACTGAGTTATACCAGCAGCTTCTGTGACTGGTAATGGGATACACTCATTTGCTAGACCTTAATACACACTAGAATGATCTACCTCTGCCTAGGGATCCAAGTACCTTCTCAGAAGGTACTTGGACCCTCTTGGACCCTCCAAACATACAAAGCAGTGTCTCCGCTCACCTTCTGAGAAGGTACGACTGGATCCCTAGAGCTGTGCCAGGTCAATGGCTACACTGGTAATGATAATACTAATGACACAAGCCCAAGGAGCAAGATCAAGGACCTCCAATTTCGCAAGCCAATTTATAGGCCCAATCACCAATTAGTGGCATCTCCAAAAACTCGCGTCAGCCCAAGGGGCCAGAAATCCAACGTCTTCGGCTGCACCGTGCGCCTGAACCCGTCAGACCGTCACGGCTGACTCCGCGCGGAAACCCGTGGTGCGCATCGACTTGGAACAGACGTCGGAGGGTTTGAAGATTCTGAGTGGATCTCAAGGCAGCTACACTGCCACTCATCAACATGGAAATGGACGTTCTGGCCGGAAGACCATGGAAAACCACTAGAAGATCAGGTGGTGCCATGCACGTAACCATGTGTTCGTCAGAGGGTACTATCAAAGTACGGATTTTCCGGGGCACTGTCGGGCCCGTCCGGTCGATCTGGAACTACTATGTCCGGTGGGTTGCCTGGATCCCCCATGGGTTTGGTGTATGACGGTCACAGGCTTGGTTACAACAAAATCGATCAGTCCAAATCAGATCACCTGTGCAGGTCGATCAGTTCAGTCCGACGTGCAGGTCTTGAAAACGCACGCAGGTCGTCTTGGGTGGTCGGACCTCATGTCTCGCATTCGCAGGGACAGCCCAAAAAAACGCCTCAAACGTGGCCGCTGAACGAAAGAAACTCCGCCAAGACATCGATGAACTCATCAGCTACAAATCGATGATGTTTCTTTGATGCACACATCAAAGAATCAGCACGTATCCGTTATCCTTTGAAACATCACCCTTCCAACCATCATCCGCCCAGCGCGCATGACGCGCGCGTGACGCGGGGCGGATGCCGGCTTCGCCTGAAAGTGGTGAGGAACAGCACCTGCAGGGAAGTGAGGTAGATCGATGCACATCGGAAAAGAAAAAGCACATAGGGCCCAGTCCCAACCTGGAGTCGACCCGTTCGTACCTTGGAAAATGGGGCCCCAGTCGTACCCTTTTCTCATGGGGTCATGTCCCATGTTCTAATGTACTTTTGGAGGGTCCAGGAAGACACATTCCCACACATGTTAAGACATGTTGGCCTGTAAGGAAACCATGGTTGATGATGATTGATGTAGACCCCAGCCAGCAAAAGAAACCAAATGATGTCCTCTGTGGTGGTCCCGGCGGCGTGGTGGTCTCATTCAGGTCTTCTGAAGGCGAGTGACACGTTCATCTCATCATATTCACTTGCATTGTTTTATCATCCAAGTTTCGCAAGTTTATACAAACAAAATGCAAATTAAATCTTATTAATGCAACACTAGGAATCCAAGCACCTTCTCACAAGGTACTTGGACCCTCCAAACATGCACGTCTCCAATCACCTTCTGAGAAGGTACTTGGATCCTGGCAAAATATACGCCATTAGTAAAACACAAATATGCACAACCAGTCCACGTCTTTCGACCAGTCTCCCACTCAACCACCAACCTAGTCTCACCTCACAACCACCAACCTATACTCTCACCTCTTAATACAACCTAGTCTGAGTCTGACCTCACAACCTATGTCTAGCGACTCACGTCTCATATGCCACGTCTCAACCGCCGCCGGGGCACCACCGCATAGCCCGCGAGGCTTGAAATGTCCAGCGGGGGGGACCTCGAGCGCGTCTGTGCATCGCCCATTGGCGCGTGGGCGACACGGGCGCGAGCGCTGAGACGCTGAGATGCTGACGCTTCGGGCTTCGTTGGGTTTCGAACCGCTTTGTGTTTTTTGTAGAGGGAGACGTATAGGCATGGACCAGAAATACATGTACGATGTTACAAAGACGTTCAGAAACTTTCAGAATCTACAAACACATGTTTCCATTCTATGTTACAGAAACATTTGTGTAGCAGCATGGACCGGATGAGCAGGCTTGACATGCTGTTTGGACTGCCTGTAGTCGTGGCCGGATGGTTCAGTAAGTGGCATATTATGCATCGGTCATGGGATGGTAATTTCGCAATGGGGTCCCTCTTTGCAAGGGCCAAAGGATTCCAAAGATGCCAACAATCCACTTGAGGACGCACAAAAGGCTCACCTGCATGGCGTCAGGGTTCTCCGGCCACCTAACATGTGGTGGAATGGTCACCGCCGCATCCTTGGGCGACCATGGTCTTGGCTGGCCAACTGGGTGACGCCGAAAATCAGTGGGGACCCCCAGGCCATCACACTTCTGAACTGTGTTGAGTAAAGGGTTCAGTTGATTTTCAGGTGACTAACATCAGTTTGGACGCATGGTTCTGTGACTCTGTGTGTGTGTGTTAGTTCTATTTTTACAGCTTGAATGAACCCACTGGGTATGTGGTTGGCAAAAAGAAAAGCAACAGCAAACGTCCATCTCATCCCTGCAAGTTGTTTGTAGTGACTGTAGTGGAACAGTGGATACTTCATGTCGGGGAAAATGATCCAATTGACAAATGATCCTAACGAAAACTGATCCTTTGCGCATCTTTCCGCCTTCCAAGCCCCAGTCTGACTGGAGACCTGTCGCACGTCCACAGTATGCTGCTACGACGAGTTACAGTAAGTGCTCCATATCCGTCTGAAGGTACAGCTGAAACATAATCAAACCTCAGCCGCAGAACCAGCGAAAAGAAAGAACTAACCGGATATGCGTGGATTGAATCGGGCACGTGGACACACTGCTGGATTGGTATATAGATTGGTAATGGCCTGTGCACTAATTACATTCATGCACACATGCGAGTAGTTGCGGAACACTGGTTCCTTGGGTATATCCCATTACCAGTATATCATTAGCAAGGGCCTTTCTCAAAAATCGTGATCATCTTTTACCACCTGTTACTGGTCATGGGCTACATTACAGCGACCAACCTGTGAAAAGGATCTGTTTTCACCACCCGTCTCCCACCCCGCGGACGACTCTCGACCACTTCGGACCAGGCGCGAAAGAACAGCACCAGCGAAAAGAAGCGGGAGCCAATGACCTGGACACGTATACAGCACACCTACTACGCCGACTACGCCTACGCCTACGCCTCGCGCAAATTGGTTTCCGGTGCAAACGTACTCGATCGGATGGACGTCGGTTGAATAAGGGCTAATATTATAAGGGCTAGCGGTTTGTGTGGGCATACCGGCAGGAAGCTTATTTGGGAGATACTACAGTTGACTGTATGGCCGAGGGAGGAATTCAAATGCATGGAACTCACTACATAGATCACATTGGGCCTTGGAACCTGGAAGATGTTGGACAAGCCGCACGCTCGAAAGCATGTTAATCAAATGCTGGTAATTATATGCTAGTTTACACCATCACCTTCAAAGGGGTGCTTAATAGAGATCCCTAAGTAGTGTAGTGGCTTTCATTGGCGACCCCTTTGAAGGTCCAGGTACCATCTTCAATGATTCGACTTCTATAGTGAAGAGAAGCTTGACCTCGCTAGGTGGGGATTGTGTTGCAATCATTTGGATCATTTGGCAAGGGGGGCACCGAATACATCTCTACAAGTATCTCGATCTACATTATACAATCTGGCACCACCGTAAACCGCAATATTCATACATCCCTTTAAAGCAACAAGCAAGATGACACCGTGCATAGACAGCCCCCCGTGTGTACAGCACAGGTACCAGGTACACTCCGTAGCGGTGACGAGACCATCTAACTTGACCCAGTGAGGTCCCGGAATTGGTCTTCCAAGGTCCTACAACAGATCCTGTAGATATTATATAGATGTCTCCAGGATAATTCAAACATCTTCTAGACTCAACTTGGACCTCAACTTGGACTCCTCTAGAAGATCTCTTGCAACTCAACGTTCTTTCAGTGTAGTTTCTTGATGTTTCGTGCGCCAGGGTGCCAACAAATTGCATTGGGCCCAGTGGAACTTTGCCACTTCGGGCGAAGTGCCTCGGATTTGGTAATGAACACCGGATGTGTCGAGCATGCCAGACCGAGACAACCGTGGCTCAGGGTGCACTATTGCGCCCTTTAATAAAAGTAAATATATAAACATAAAACAATATACAAATAAATAGATAAAATTGAACAAGCACACAGCACATATATATAAAACAATAAACAAACACACATGCCTAAATGGATGTTCTGCCTAATAAATGTCATGATCATGATCATGTTGACCCACATGACTGGATGAGACCTGTCGCACATCACATGAATCCATCTGTGCAAGGCGTGTCCAACACCTAACTTGTTGTTCATCTGGGGCATCATCTGGGGCATCCTGACACTGAAGCCCCTTCTGAAAAAAAGAATATCCAGCAATCGATTGACAAGTGCAAGACATCTTTTGGGGACCAAAGAAGTACAATGGTTTCAGAGTAGATGGCACAATCCCCAAGTTTGGTAGTCTATATTGATCCCCATCTGTCTAGGACATCTTTGGGTTTGTGCCATCGAACCTCTGAAACCACTGTAAATGGGCTCCAAGCTGTCAACCACCCTTCACTTGCTATCCAAGGACTCGAATGACTAGAATAGAAGCCTTGATACCCTAGAAGTCCAGTTCGACTATATTTTGACGGACTGAAGTAAAGGAAATTCCTAGACTCGGGTCACCTAAAGCCATTCTGTTTATAGTCTTTGACTCCCAGGGGATATTTGTTTGACTTTGGACTTGCTTGTCATGACCAGGTCTTGTCGTGAACCCAGCTGCCCGTTTTGACGTCGGTGCCCAGCGGTACCGGGCAGCTGGAGGGGTCACCCATGGACCACAGGATCTCCACCTGTCTGCATATATGGTCTTATGGGTCTCCAGACAGGACACCCAAACAGGAAGTGCTGTGCTTCAATGAGCTTCCACCTGTTCACCCCAGCAAGCCTGTGCCTCCGGATTTGCTCCGGTCTTGCCCCCCGATCGACGAGGGCAAACAAAGGAGAACAACGGCCGGTCGCGGTCGTTACAGCGCTTTGCTCAGCTGAAGTTGCTTTCATGTGCTCCCTTAGAGAAGCGTTCACTGCAGCGGCAAAGGACCGCGTGTGCACGCTGCCAAAGAGATCTGAACTCCTGGTGGAGGTCATCCGTGAGAAAAACGCACCGTCATCCGATAACTCATGCATGTCAAAAGAGGGCTTCCAATAGACGAGATGCCGCATCTTTTATTGTGTTCTAAGTTCTGAGGGTCCTTTTCTTGGGGGTGCAAACTCTGGGAAACTGTATGAGATATCCACTTCTCCATTCAAAGATTCCACACGCAAAGATCGTGTTTGGATTCTTGAAAAGGAGATACTTGGCACCCGAAGCTGTCATGGCACCCAAAGCCCTGGATCTGACCCAGGTAGGTTGGCCATGTCTATAGTTAGGGTCTAGTAAGTCTATTCTGTCCATTCTCGGTCAACTTCAGCGGCTACGAGGTTTTTCAAGACCCAGGTAGCCCACTTCTCCAATGAAGGCATCAGGCAACTCGGCCTCTTTTCGATCAGTTGGGTTCCCACCGGTGGGGTGCCCCGGTTGCCCCGACCTATGGACGCCTGATTCCCACAAGGGATGGCCTGAGAGACGAGGCCATGGCGGCCATACTGGAAAACAGTATGCATGCTCTCTAACAAGTGATCACATATCCAAGGAGCTTGCTAGATTGTGATGAAGTGGCACAGCATTCAAGAAATTATGTCTATAATTGTCTATATAGTCTATAGATTTACATGAGAATACCTTCTCAAAGAGTACGCACCTTTTGTCTTTACACATACACAGTGGATACTGTTTTAGACCAGCCAACTGAAAGGCCCCAGCACTGTTGCTTGTTATTGAATCACATAATCTACCGACCACCAGAACAACGCACAATCCCCTGAGTTCACCCCTTGTCCACTCGGCGTGGCGTTGGCGGCTTCGCTTCGGTTACGGAGTTGAACTCGCTGAGTTAGCAAAGACATAAACCAATGGAATTGGCTCAAAGAATCCTGAGACCCGACAGATTTGGCAGGGGCTCTGGATGGTCTGGACCCTGAAAACCGGGATTCTGACTGAGGGTGGAGGAAGAAATATGAAATCAATGTCCCCACATTCAGAAGATTTGGACATATTGGAAAGCAAGGCCATTCCCATGGCTGAGGACTGGACAGTGAGGGTATTCACTGCTATGCCCAGGCCCAGACCCTCCTTGTTGCGTCTCATGAGCAGGAGGACGTTCATCAATCTCACCAGCGTTAAGCCTGGCAGGTTGCGTTCGAACAGCAACTTGCTCACTGACCATGCATGCTGTAGAAATCTCATGAAATCTCACATTGTTGTTGATCGAAGCTTGGCAATGCCAAGAGCATTGAACTCAGCTATAGCACTTAAATGAGCATATATATCTTATTACCAGGGGCCTTTGCGTGGATGATGATGGTTCAGTTGCAGGCTGTTCTCCAAAATCATTGTGATGTTATAGAATGTTACAGGTAGGATAGACCCAACTTATACTTGAGAGAGGAGGGGGTGAACGAAAGGTAGCAGGCAATCACAAGTAACCCTGGTAGAAGTCCATGACGGCGTGAACCGGCGCAGGGGGGATTTGATCCATGGGGGGGCCCCCCCCCCGACGAACAGAATCAACTCTTACAGGACCAAACTCAATGCACAATCCCAACTCCTGATTGTAGTACATTTTTTCTAAAGCAAGGAGAACTCAGGTAGCTCAAGCTACCTTTCGTGATATGGTTCAAGTTGAATCTCGGATGGTTCCTGATAGCTGGCTAGCGAGTTGGGATGTTGAAATGTCACTCCTATTCAACATCCCAACCCAGCCCGCACCCCATCTATCCCCATCTCGTGATTGGCCTATCCGCTGAGAGCCGACCAAAAACAGCGACCTATCTTTTGTATGGTTCTTTGTCTCATGAAAGGAGAGGTTCTGCTGCCCATGTGACCAGGTGCTTATTTTATCTTCTTTTCAGCAAAAATATGTCCTGGTGTGTGTTTAAAAACTGTGTCACATGGACAATAGAACCTCTTTTGTAGACAAAGAACCATCGGTGTCCAACTGGACCAGGTCAACGTTTTTCGAAGACCTGGTCCAGGTGGACTGGTTGTCAACCCTGCCCAACATGGATTGTACCTTATTATGGATCCACATACATCTGACTGGGCCCAACCCTGGCGCCTACATGAATAGTCTCCTTCCTCACCGTACTGCAGGTTCGGTAGGTGGTCGTGGATCCATGGGGGTTCAAACTCTTCACCCCGCGCCGCGCAACCAACCGTGCTTGCAACCGCTACAGTACGCCACCGCGCTCCAAGCGGAGAACAAGTTCCGTTCACCGCGACGCGGTCGTCCGGTCGACCTTGTAACACCAGAATGCACACGGTGAAGAGCAAGGCCCGCGTGGGCGAACCGCCCGGAACGTAGGCGTCGTCCATGGCGGGCGCTGGGGGGGTTCCCACACAGGAGAGAAGCCAAAATGAAACCGGTGCAGCCGGTTGAGGCGAAACAGTGAGTACAGGTGAGTACATATCATCATACCACGCATATGTCTGTTGTCTTTTTTTTGTTGAGTTGCTTGGAAGTGTTTCTCGGCCTCGTGAAGTGCCCAAACATGCGGATTGATGGGGGTTTCTAGTGTGGAGGATTATGGAGCTTGTATAGCATTCGGTTTGTTTTCTGACGGTGGCAGTGAGTAGAAGGATGTATAGGTGTGTCCGCAGCAATCACTTTGCTGTGCTTCCTCATGTTTCGACACCGCTGGGTGCAGCCTTGGCTGTCAGCACGGTCAGTTTGAGACACACTCATACCGATTGACTGAACAACTCCTGCATCGCTTAGAATACGGCTCGCAACGGGGTTTGCGAAGGCGGACATCTTCCTTCGCTCAATGGTTCTTATCCGAGTTATAGAGAAGAGACTCCTAGCATTCGCTGCCCGGTGAGAAGCTTGTATTGAAGACCCACTGGGAGCTTCTGAGCTGGAACAGAATCGGAATCAGGAATGAATTGAGTCCATATCCTCAACCCTAAGGATCCGGACCCTCCAAAACAACGGGTTTTGGAGCTTCCTTCGACCCCGGAGCTGATCGGGTCCGGACTTCGGATGGTTAGGGAAGATGTTCGAAATCGAACTTCCCCCGGACGTCCCAGACACGACCCATGGGACTGCCAGTCCGGACTGCCTTCAAAACGGCCAGGGGTGGTTGACTGGTCAACTGATCGGCAGTCCTATGGCAGTCCCATGGAGTGTTTGGGAGTGGATGGTCAGAGCCGACTTCAACGGCTCGCTGGGCAAGCTTCAGAAACCCGATCCGCCCGTCGATCGAAGGACCTGGGTTTTAGGGCTCCAGGAGGGCCCTCTGAACTAACCACAGTCCCACCTTCACAGTCCCACCTTCGAAACCAAGTTACTTGGAGCCCTACATAGGGCTGGGTTTGAGTGGTATACCCAAACGCGACCCCACAGCAAACTGTACCCTTAGGCCCTGAGGCTCTATAGTAGAAAATAACACTGCAGTGTACATGAATTCATATAAAACTGAGGTGCCTCATCAAGCTAGCACATTTTTCAAATGCTAGCACCAAGTTCGGCGGCGAGTTGGCCAACGACCATCCATTGGGACAGGTCGTTGACGGAGATGCAATCTACAGCTACACCGCAGCTACAGGTCTAAATGGTAGAACAGAACAAAATCCATGGAACTTGATTAAGACACAACACATGCCAGGACTTTCAGTTTGTGACTGTCCTTGAGATCTCAGTGGCGGGTCGGTCACGAATCGACCCTTTTTAGAGGCCACTGACTTAGAGACTGCAAAGTCAGGTCACGAACGGATGATGCTTCGGTTGTAGGCCGACATCTCCTGAGGAGTGATACTGGTATTCTGACATGTTGGCTCTGTTGCAGCTTTACTGGGCTACACCCGAGCTACCCCTGGATTTGCTGTCCAGAAGCCTGGAAAACATACAACATGTTCCCCAGAAGAGGATTTACATAGGGAAAATCAACGATAACCTGATCCGCAAAACCAGGCTAGCCATATATCATATATTTATATCGAACTTGCTTCACTTCCCAGACCCATCCCTGCTATTCAACCAACCCAAGGCCGTAGGTGGAGCCATCTATGGCAACCAGCTTCCCTGCTTCAGTCGAGCTCGAGGCCCCATCAAGGAATCGTAGATGTGCAAAGCGAACCAACTTGGGGTGGAATGCTTTGCCAACAGCAGAGTTGTGCACTCAAATGGCATCTTTTCCTTCAGTTGCTGGATGTACAAGGGCTGCATTCACTAAATCTAGACCGGACCAACACCAAATAAGCAGGGTATGCATGAGATCCACTTCTGCCTCGCTACTGCGAGCAAATGCGAGCGGCCTTCACGTTCGCGTGGGGGGCGGGGGCGATACCCAGCGAGAACCCAGAGGCGATACGAGGCATCGCACCTTCTTCGCTAAGCAAATACCATGGGGCGACGGGACAGGTCCCTGAAGAGGTTCCACCCTGGTCGACTTGCAGGTTTTCATGGGCGGTTTCTAGACTTGCTTGGGCAAAACCTGCACCCTTCTCGCGAAAATCCGAGGGGTCAGTGATGGTCAGTGCCTGGTGCGATGATTATATCACACTTGTCTACTTGTCTGCGGGCAAACCTCTTCAAAGCCTATCTACATTGGGCATCCACTGAGGATGTCGAGCCTCGCTTCCCATGGCTGGCAAGCACCCTCGGAGCCTGTGCACCTGTGGATGAAGCACTTTTTGCCGTCAATGCCTCAAGAACTGTCCGCTTTGAAACATGGCATGGGGCGTCTTGTTGCTGGTACATCACCCTGGATCAGACTCTTCTCTCGCAAAGTAAAACGCTACCAGAAAGGCGAGAGAAAGACCGTTCTCTGCAGATGGAACTGTGCTACACCAGAGCTCCGGTGTGGTGCTATGGATCCATCGGATCCTCTCCTCCCTCGGGCGTGGCCAGGCGCGTGGCCGGTGGGAACCAAAGCTCCGGCCGCCGGGCACGCAGAAACCGGTCCGGTGGGGATTGCTCGGTGTCTGAGGCGTCACGTGTCTCACGTTGAGGACTCCATGGCTTCATCTTCAATGATGCAAAGGTCTTCGTGTTGTGAAATAGGGGACTTCCCGCGGATCGAAAATGGAACCAGTCTACCAGTAGCGCCGGTGCGCCCGTTTAAAGAAATACAACACTTCTCCCACCATGCCGGACCCCCATGGCTCCAAAGAGGCTTTCCGAACCAAAGGTTTTTGCTCAAAGCACCAGCATCCAAGAGGGGTTCCCAGGTCACTGGAACCCATGATCAAGAAGAATACAGGGGACATACTCAAGCTGATGGTGATGTTTATAGCACTTTAATTTAACTTTAAAGCTCCTTCTCAGAAACCAGTGAGCAATGAGAATCCGAGCAATTGAAGCTCTTGACCCAAAAACACTCCATACCGTACCAGTTAGACATGATATGTGAGGAAAACGGAGTCAGTCATGTCTTCAGCGACCAAAGCGACATCACATCACGATCCGCCAATTCAACGACTCAACACAGATCAGATTTGCCGGTCGCCACATCCCGCGACGGCCGTGCCGTGCCTCCCACGCGCTGCTCTGTTTCAAAAATCACTTCCAGCTCTCAAATGGCAACTGAAAAAGGGACACAATCCCATCGTCTCCAAGTTGCAAACGAAGCCCACCGCAGCGGGTTTAACTCGACTGTTTGAACGGTTGTATTGCGCAGGTTAAGAGAGTACATGTTCGATCATGTTCGATCATTGTATTCAAACAGGAATGTATGGAGAGTGGCGTTAGTCTCGGGGAGTCTTGCTGTAGGCCAGCTACAGACTTTGCCCGGTACCAAAGACGTGTGGTCTGCAAGCAAAAACTTCATTGAACAAAAAATCTACCAGGAATTTTAAACAATGTTCGTTCTGCATGTCATTGCGTGCAGTTTGAGTCCCATGCCACGATGAATCCAAATGCCGAGGCAACATAATGGGTCGCACGAACATCGCACAGGCATCACACATGAAGTGGCGACTGGAGCCCTGGTTCCTTCCATCAAGGCAAATCTCAGCAGGTTATTTATTTATATAGATATATAGCAGGGTTATATATTTATATAGCTCATGGACTCATGGATGTCAAAACAGGGATAATCCAGGTACTCTCCCTCCAACGCTCGAAGTGGACAACATCTTCGTTGACAACAAACGAGATGCCGGGAGTCAAGTCAACGAATCCAGGTTGCGAAGAATAGAGAGATGGCACCAAGATCCAGCTTGTGATTCATCCAGCTTGTGATCTGAAGGATGGATGGTTCTTAGGATGCATCGGAAACCCTTGCTATCCGGATTCAGGTGCTGAACCTGCTGCCCGTCGGCTTGTGCCAAAAGAGAACTGGAAGGCCAAGGTATGGCCCAAATGCTGGCCAAAGATCTAACTGAATGCGTCTCTGCTTCCACTGCGCGTGTTAGCAGATGGATTTGTCCCCAAACGGGGAACCCCTCCAAAGCATCATTTGAGAATGTTCCCCCAAATCTTGTGTGATGAAATTCTGTGGAGGTTCCTTCTCATCTTGAGACCAAAAAACAACGAAGTGTCGACCAAGTAGGATCCTTGCGCATTGATCCAGAAAGAATGATGTGGGCATCATCCTGCAGAAGTGGTCTGTCACAGAGCTGCTGGGCGGAGAGGGTGTTAACTTGGATTCTCGGACACCAAATGGGGTGCACCAACGACTGGATAGTTGGAGGATTGGAAGGATATGCAAGGGACCCTCTAAACCCAATGCTTGGGTGGGTAGAGATCCATTGCAGTTGAAGCAGTACAAGTAACATGTTTCACTACATGTTTCTTGCATCACATGAGTTGAAGTCAGTACACAATCAAGCAGAAAGCAAGAAGAAGGAAAAAGGGACACAAGTAGGTGAATCAATGGAACATAGGTGCCAAAATCAGCGAATATCCAAAAGTTGGTATAATTTTGAGGTACCTCCGTTAACTCCTTAATCCTCAGGACCTAGTATAGCGTGAAACAAGAAAACGAAAAACATGAAGCACCCTTCACCCTCCTGACCCTGCAGGCCCTTCACCGTACCCTGCAGGCCTTTCATCGCGTGAGCTGCGGTGCCTTCACAAGGAGCAGTTCTTCTTCCGCAAGGCCAAAATGGATCCCGAGAGCTGCGAATCGCCGGAGCTCCTGCCGCTGGTCGATGCGGAGCGAAAGAAAATGAAAGGTGAAGCACGGAGGTGAAGCGAAGGCCGAAGCCAAGCGGATCATCCAATGTTTGGCGAAGGAAGGCTTTCACCATGCGACGCACTTCAGCGCAGCTGGCGGTGTTCTGCGTCTTTCACCCCAGGCGTTTCCACTCGGATGCTCAATCGGACATCGACAGAGGTGCCCGGAAATCCATGGGCTCCGCAGGCGACGGAACGCGCGCGCAGCGGGAAGGCGGGGATTCGCTCCTGGATCCCTGCGATCCTTTGGAACCTCTCGACCTCTTTCGCTTGCTCTCGCGTTTCTTTTGGGCCTGCCGGACTCAGCGAATGCAGCGACCAGGCAGTGTGTGCAAGACATGTTTTGCAAAAGCACCAAACATGTCTGTTTCGGTCAGGTGGACCAGGCATTTTGTTTTCTGCATTTCTTGGGCAACAAAAACATAAAGAAACTCCAACCCACGACATCGACCCTCAATACCCCGTGCGCCCCCACGAAGAAACCAGGTACAGGAGTCCCACCCTCCCACCCTCTCCCCACGAAATTCGCACAGTCCAGTGGCGAACTTTTCCAGCTTGGCGACGTTTTGCTGTGTGAGCTTGGACTTGGGTTCCAAGCTCAAGGTCCCGACCTCAGCATCGACGCCCGGAAACGGCGAGTCGGCTAGCGCAGTGATTCGGCTAGCGCTTGGGCGCGTGGCCGGCCGGCGTCAAACAAGGAATGATCGAGTGGATTCCTTGGTCTTCCTGCAAGTCGCGAAAAGGTTGCTCTGGAAATGGAACATCTGGAAGCTCCGGACGGTGCTCCAGCGTGTCCCCTGTACCAAGTTGGAGATGCATCTGGAACCTACATTGGAAAAGAAACACCCAGTTTTTTTCATGCACTGAAAACCTTTACTCCCATCATGGAACGATCCCATCTTGGCAGTTTTAAGTTGGACATCGCTCCTGGCTTGACTTTGTCTTGGGAGATTTGGACTGAAGGTCCGAAGGTCCAAACCAAGCAACATCTTGCTGACCATCCAAGCGACCAAGGTTTTCAGCATTAAGTCATGCCTCAGTTTCGTCGCAAGGACGACTTGCATACCCATCCGATCCACGGGGCACTACAAACACAAACAAAACTGGTCAGCAAAACAAAACATCACTCAACACTAACTTGACAAATTATTGTATAATAGTGTATCACTAAACGAAACACTCAACACAACACTTGACAAACTAAACAAAACATCACTAAACACTGGACAACAGTTTCTAAACACTTGACACTTGACAAACACAAATCTAAACACTTGACAACACAACACTATACTAAACACTTTTTGTATATACTATACACACATTAATTGTATACACCCTAAAATCAAGCGAAATTCAAGATGTCACATACACTATGCCCTGACATGGTCTGGTAGACTTTCTGGTCGCAAGGGCATGAGGCGTTGATGCACACCAAAGGAACAAGAGATGTGACCAGAAACGAAGCCTGAAGACATTGAAGCCTCGAACCTTTCTGAGCTTTCCCTACAGGTCAAAGACCTCATTTTACTGAACTTGGTCATACAAGAACACTACTTAAGGAGGTAAATGACTATGTTTTACTAGGTCTTTGGACTTGAAGGCTTTTTGTTGGTAAAGCCACTGCGAAGTAAACGACCATGTGCAGTTGCCTAAACCATATCTATCGGGGTGTCCTGGCTGGAGATCTACGTCGTGTGGAGGCTTCTAGCCAGACCAAAGGAAGGTGCTGTTTGAGGTGCTGGTGAACTTCTCATACCGAACAGGAGAATGGTGCACGGCTGCATTGCACTTGCACGGCTGCATTGCACTTGATTCCTCCAACAATTCCTCAAAGGATCCCATCATGCGCGGCAAAGTCTAGTCAATCACTGTATTCACTGTCCAGGAACCAGGAAACAAAGAACACCTTCCCCATTTCTGGGGATTCGACACAACTACCATTCGCCCGATCCGCAAACGGCATCCCATGGCAGTCATCCGAACCATCCCGAGGACAGGAAGATCGATTGGGAGATCTGCATGCAACTTCGCTTATGTGGCAATCAACATCAGCTTATAGCGATGTCTTTGCAGGTGAAACACCAATCGAACTGGCACAAAACACAAGTGCGCCTCAACTTTGAGCTGATGCTTCGGTGTGTCATTGGGTGCATGAGGTTCTTAAGAATACAGAATACCTTCCAAATCGACCTGCACTTTGCTCCAAGCCCAGCATCCACCTTACTCATCTCCCACCCTCTGCTCCCACCCTGCTCTCTCCACCCTACTCCCTCCCCTTGAAACCCAACCGAGTCCCCGCCCAAGAACCGTCGTCGCGCCGTCCCAAGAACCTGCTTCAAGCAGCTGTAGGGTCAAGGTCCCACGTAGATGTGTCGAGAACAGTTCCAGCTCCTCCAAGTCAATCGGCCCCACCTTCTCCTTCCCCTTCTCCTCAGCGAGGTGCGAAGGGAACGAAACACGAACACACCATCGAAATGGATCCCATGAGGGTGCTTCGAAAACTTGGATTTGCTGAAGGAACCAGGAAAAGATTGGAAAAAAAAAACATCAAAAAACAATCTTTCCCAGAAGGGGGTGAATCCCAGTTCGAGAAACTAGAACATCACCTATAAGTCACGCACCAACGGTCAACACCGCCATAGTCACCACGTGACTCTTGAGTTCACCTCACCGTCACCGGGACACGTAGGCGTCGTTCACCGCGTCTTGGATCGCTAGCAAGATCTCGTCGAGGCTGCCACCTGGACCTGCGACGCGTCGAGGCATGGTGCATCGGTGGTGCACGGTCAGCCCGACGGACGTCCGGCATTTGCCGCAAGTTAGAGCAAGTTGGTCAGGTTTGGTCAAGCCCGTTCTCCTGGTTTTGACCACGGGATGGATTGCACTCTGCACCTTATCACCTCGAGAATAAGATGATATATATATATATATATTAACATGCAAATCATGGTGGATGAATGTGGATGATCTATGCCAGGACCTCTCCTTTTCGGGGTGTCGCTGTAGCCCCTTATGAGAATAGGGGCTGTCCATTCACCACCACTGCCTTGAGGCGTGGGGGATGTCATTCACAAACACCGAAATCTGACTGTGAAACAAACCCTAGGCCTCCAAGTACCTTCTGAGAAGGTGGGACTGGGGTGGGTGCCAGGAGGGTCCAGTCATACCATGCGACTGCACCAAGACGAAGCAGGAGTCGATGCGAGTCAAAGAGGATTCGATGCCACCCGTGGGGAGGTCTCAGGGTCTCATGGTGCGGGAGGTCGGTCATCCCTGCTACCCCAGGGGGTGGGGGGGTCGGACCCCCAACAGAAAATGGATTATCCATTTTGATCCTGATGATGCATTAGCAACGGTCTAGATCCAGTGATATTCAGTGTTGTCCATAGCACTGTTTTGCAGTTTCTGGATCATATTTTGCATCGTTTGGGTTGTGTTTTTGATTTTTTGGCGTCATCTTTTTGGTCTCTTTTGGGCTGCGTCCTGTTTCTGGTCGAGAACAAAAAAAGCATTGGATAGGGGTCCAGGTATCTGGTATTTCGAAGTGCAAAACAAGCGAGCGTTGGGTTGTATATCTTGTTACATCGAGCGTTAAGTCAAAAAAACCTTGATTTACATTGCGTGGACGCGTTGCCTAATGCACTGCATGGACGCGTTGCTTACGCCCGCGGGGCGTAAGCGATGCGGACCCTCAGGGAGCTCCGAGCAGTGGGACCGCGTTGCCGTCCAAAAGGTCGCGTTGCTTACGCCCGCGGGGCGTAAGCGATGCTCCTTGTTTTTTTGATTTTTGGCTACATTCAAAGCAAGACCATCATATTCAATCATGCCAGCATGGTCAAGTGAATTCAGGCGGTTCACACGATCTTGGCACTGCTTTTTTCTTTCCCTGTGTCTTAATCTACTGCCCAAGCGGAAAGCCATCAAAAGTCTTGAATCTGGTGGGCACCCTGGCATCTCCATGCTCAGACTTGTATTCAGTGAGCTTGCTGAAGCCTCTTTCCCATTTCAACCGCGTCGCTTGTCAAAATTTCTCGGGGCCACGCGGAGATAAAACTGGAAACATGTTGGCTGTGTAAATGGAATATTAAAATGGAATTCCTAAAGGTACCCCCCCCCTCGATCCTCCATTTTCGAGGAGGGGGGATGGTCGGTCTCAGCGACCCTCCGTCTCTCCGCGTCCAAGATGTGTCCCCCTTGTGATGTTTGAGGATCAACAGGGACGCGTGGCGTCAAGATGTGTCAGGGGACGCCAGACATGTCCGTGTCAGTATAGCGGCTATAGAGCCAGGAACCAGTCTGTGCCAGTTCATCAGTGTTCAACATGTATCCCAGAACAGCTCCTTGAATGCAAGAACGCACAGTGAATAAAAAAACACCACCTGACTTCTTTCAGACCCCTTAGCCAGTCCTTTTCTGCTCCCAGAACAGTTCCCTCCAATACAGAAACGAACACAAAGGGACCTAACACGCGTCCGGTCATCCGCCGTCACCCGCCGTCGCCGACCGAGCCTTCAACCGACCTTCCAGGCGACCGGACCCACAGACAGCCCCCCCAGCCGATCTGATCGCCTGCTTGCAGCTGTTGGAGGCTCGTGCCTTGCAAGTTCCTGTCGTTGGAACTCGAGATGAACTGACGTTGGAACTCTTCCGCAAAAAGCTTCAGTTCCGTAATTTTCCTCTTTTTGTGGGGCCGTCTTATAGGGCCCCATCTGTCCCGTTCATTTGTTGGGTCGTTTCTGGTTGTTAGCCAAACCGATGGGAGAATGAAGGTTCGCACAAAGGAATGAAGGCACAGTGGCCGAACCGGCCGTTCTCCCGGTTCGCCGAGTTCCATCCACCGGCGACAACGGGGAAGACGTCCGAAACGGGTGTCGGTGCGCCGGAAACGCGCAACGAAAGAATGAGGAGATATCGCCCAAATGGTTTAAAGGAGTGGTGGGTGTTGCAGGGTGTTGTAGTTAAATAGACTAGACTTATTCATATTATCTTCCTCAATCAACAGACTTCACCTCCCCCCTATGAGATCATAAGACAAAAGCTGTGTCATCTTTTCATCGAAACCTGCTATCACAGAGTATTCTTATTGCAAACCCACACCCCACATGCCTACAGTTTGACCTTATTTCACTGAAGTGGATCATATTGAACCCAAACACCACTCATTCATGATCTTTTTCTTTGTGAGATGTTCCAGGACCTGGAGACTGAACCGATGGGTCGGACTGGACCGGGACCGCCCGGCCGTCCCTCGTCCCTCGTCCGGTCGCGCGGCTGATCCGTGAAGCGCTCGAAGTTCGTCACATCGATGATCTCCTGAGCGGTCATCGACGGTCCAAAGGGCGAAGGATTGAAACAACAACACCCACTCAGGAGAGGTCGGGGAAATGATGCGTGCGGCATACCAAACCCAATCTTAAGTCAACATGTGTATGTTTCGTTTCGTGTTGAGATGATCTGCAACAAAGTCACCTAATCATGAGATCCCAGTGGCTATGGTCACTTGGGGCAATTAAAGGTCACAAAGAGAGAGACTCCAAGGAGGTCACGAACTGAAGAGGGTGGCTGTCGAGGTATGTCCCCTGTGAGCGACGTTGTAACCTCCAGCGCCTGCGACCAATTCGTGGGTGTTTTGACATGGACAATAAGACCCCGGCCCGTTCCATCCAACAGCGGATGGCATGGGCCTCCGGAACAGACGCAGGTTCCGAATCCCCAACAGGTGGTGGTTGTTTTCCACTTGCACGTGATGTGTTCGTCGGAGGGTACATCCAAAGGAACCTGGGAAAACATGTTGAACAAAAACAACACTATTCCCCATAGCCAGGGGACTTGCCCCTAGAGCTCAGAATAGGGAAAACCATAAAATCACAGCAAAACCCGGAAGATGTCCCCTCTAGGCCAGCTGGGCCCATCTCCTCACACCGGGAACCGCGTCACGGCGTGTTCTGTCAGCGTTCCATACATCGAAACGAACCGGCGTGAACCGGCGCGCGGGTGCATCGCAGGGGCCATGCTTTCGGCGTCGAACCTGAGAGGTTCGAAGCAGCGAAGCTTTTGGTTCGAAGGGGTTAGAGAGAAGACTGACTCACCAAGATTTGATCTAATCTCGAGGCGTTTTTGAGTGCGGGGTTTCTGAGAAAACTGTCGCATGATCTCGCTGGTACATGGTTAGAGAGAAGACTGACTCACCAAATACTTGATCACAACTGCATGGTAGAGTCTAGGATTTCTTTCAATTCACATCTTTCAACTGATCGCATGTACTAAACGACAAAGAAAGAAACGTTGATCGAGTGTTAGCCTTGATCAAGTCGCAGACCCAAACCATGTGAGGGCTCCATGGGGAGGATGAGTATATCCATCAAACATCGCTAGGCAAACGTACTATATAGCCCAACCGAGGTTAAGTGACCTGAACTAGGACCCGTCACCAGGGGTATACCTACTACTACAGCCCTATGGATCCACATACCTTCTCACAAGGTAATTGGAGACTATTGATGCAGGCTTTGAGGGTCCAATTACCTTCTGAGAAGGTATGTGGATCCATATGGCAGGAACCTTGACTAAAGGAAGGCCCCTGGTCACCGTGGCTGGCTCCTGGGACCACGATGCGAACGACGCTGTTGGGCCCAGGATGATGTTGACGGAACGGGCCCAGGATGGCCCTTGATCCGCCCGCAACTCGTTGTTCTTTCAGATGAATGAGACGGACGCGAACTGACGCACGTCCCGAACGACGCACGTGCGAACGACCAGTGAACGGAATCCACGAACTCGTGCCATTTAATTACTGTAGTGGACACTCATGAATGACCCCACTACCCATAGCTACCAAGAAAGGTGAAGTGACCTTATAATAGGACCCGTCACCTGGGGAACCATGGGAACCTATGGGATAGCCTATAGGGTCCTTCAACCTCTGTTGATAATTGGGTGTGTATCTCAGATCGGGAGACCTTCTGGGCAAGGCAACAACCCCCCCAACTGGTTCGGTTCAACGAAACCCGTTCTAGACTCAGTGCACCAGGAGGTCTCTCGGGTTCAAAAAGATCATCCCTTCCACTTCTGAAAAAACCACACAATTCCCCGCCCCCTCCTTCTTCGAACTTCTTCCACTCCCAATGTATACACCCTGGAAGACTAACATGGACCCTGAAAACCACTGATTGGTAGAGGAAAACACTCTTCCAGGGGGGCCAGGACGTCAGGGTCTATGTTAGTTTTTGGGAGTGTACACCCCAATTCTTCCACTCCCTTCCACTAGCGACCGCCGCTTCTCCTCCACTCCGACCGACCCACGATCCCCGATCGCTCGGTGCTATCGCCACGCCACAGGAGCACGCCGGTGCGGCCGTCGACGTCCGAGAGCTCGAAGGGCAAGGGCGCCAGAGCGGCATGGCCCACATCCTGCGACGGCATGGTGCCATGGGCCTCTATGGTGCCCACGTCCTTCTTGAGAACGAGAACTTCTGGCCTTTCAGAATGGCTTTAGCTATGTGACTAATTCGGCCAAGGGGGATTGTTGTTGTTGTTGTTGTTCCTGTGTGGCGAGGTTCGAGAAGTCCTGCAAAATCCATTTGTTTTTCTCCTTTGAGAACTTCCACTTGCACGGTCGGTCTGGTCCCGGAAGGCTTCTCCGTTGGAATGGGCGACAGCTACTCGGCTGTCGAACTGGGCAACCAATAGACCGAGGGTGAGGAAACCAATATATGGGGACAACACCTTAAGCATCCTTAAGCCAATTTTTAGGAGTGGGGCCCACGTCAGGTTCACGTCAGCTATATAAGGGGGTCCTAGCTCGGTGAAAAAAGTGAATTGAAACAGACCAGCGATCGGTCTTTGACCCCCATGTCTACCACCAAAGGTCTGAACGTTCAGATCTACCTCGCCCTGTCTCCAAGCCAACCCCAACCGGTGCACCGCATGTCTCCTGAAACTCTCGAATGCCAACTAAGCAGCAGCTTTGGCCTGACAGGCCACCCACACACGACCCATGGGACTGGCGACCCATTGGACCCGAGAAACGGCCAGCTGGTGGTGCCAGAGGGGTCAATGTACTGGGGCGGCATCGTGTCTGGGCAGTCCCAGGGACGTCGTGTCTGGGGTACACTTCTGTCTTCGTCGCGACGTCCTCTTTTCATGGAAGTTCCTACAAATTATGACAACAAACGTACGGAAGCGACTGCGTAGTCCTTCATTAGTTCCTTCATTAGTTCATTAGTCGTGGTATAATCACTAGCATCCAAATGGTTGAAAACACCTTCTTAGGTGAATAATAACGGGTTGTTTTGTGCGGTTGTTCATACGAATATCTAGAATCTAGACCCACCACCTGTCGACCCCCAACCTCGACTCGGTCTAAGACCGTGGTGAGCGGTAGTTGCGGAGCTGCGCCGAAGGCCGAAGCGGCGAGTGGCCTTTGGCATTCTCGAAACGGCAATGCAAGATCTCCACTTGCAAGTTGCTTCCCAAACCTGCCATGAACGAGCTCGACCATGGCAAGTTCGACTATCCGAGCTCGGAAGTAGAACCCCCAGGCAGTTTGACCATGAGCACATGACTCACTTCATCTCACTTCCTTTCGATCTTCCGAAAAGGTCTCTGGACCCTATGGGACTTCCAAATACCACCGTCCAAGAGCTATAGATCACCAAAACACAAAGAGAAAGCAACGATCTGGACTAGCTTGGGGGCTATTTCGACTTGCTGAAGGGCCAAACTGCCCGCAGTCCAGCAAAAGACGTCACTATACACAAGAACCCATAACAACTCATTCCAACTAAAACCATCTAAAACTATATACTTAAAGCCGTGTACATACACGCAGTCCCTTCTCACCTTTCGCTTCCCTTCCGAGCTGCAGTCCAACATCCGCACGTGCAGCGCCAAGGTGTGCTGGCCCCCAGACTCCGAGAGCGACTCCTCGCCGAAGCCGCGAGCGGCGCAAGCGCCAGAGCAAGGAAACACGGGGGCAAGCCGGAGCAAGGAAGGCAGGTACTGTATTTCTTTTGTTTATATATATGTGTGTATTTTTGGTTTGTGAGAGTAATTCTCCAAGCAAAGATACTGATGGAATACATTCGCAGTGTGCTGAGTATATACTGTGCTGAGGGCCTTGAGTACACCAAACATGGGTAATTATCTTGATTGAGATTGATGCTCAGCAAGATGTGATTTGAACTGGAACATCGCCATTTGCACGCCCCTTTTCTTTGCCGCTCACCATTCTTGCTGTTGGCCGTTCTTGGATGAAGGACCACGTCCAGCCAAAAGGGAAACGCAAAGTTTTCCATCTGCGGCTCAGGAATCCTTGGTGGAAGGGGAGCGCGGCTGTCACCTGCTGGTGGTGCAATTTTCCCTGAAACTCATGATGGTTCTGAACACCAGGGGTTAGCCCAGTTTAGGTAAGGAGCAGCGAATTTGCCTGGACTTTCGCTACAAATCGCTACAAAGCACACTCAGACTTTTATTGCTTGAGGGCTCAGCTTGGGGCGCAATCTCAAGGATTGAGAATTACATATACATGCATGGGAGTATTAGTACTTGAATAGGAAGACCCCTGGCCCTGGCAGACTGGTCTATCTCCTAAACCGAACGCAAAAGGTCGGAACGGGGGGGGGGTCTCCCATGTCTTGAGCTGACGCCATAATTATACAGCTCCTGGCCCACCTCCGTATCGAAGATGCTTGGGGTGGGTGCCAGGGGTTCTAAGCACGGAACCTGAGGAGATGGTTGGAGCCACAGGAATACTTGACAAGTCACAAGTCACGGGTCTTGAGAGGTCAATCCATGCTAACAAACCTTCAAGGTCCTCACCAAGATGCCAAAGAAGCACCATCCGCTTCACAGCCAAAGTCATTGCACAGCAAAGGGCTGCTACAATCCGCCCCTGTTTGGGGAACAAATTCTGTAACCATGCACACTTGCATGTTACCGTTGATGACAGTGATGATATATAAGAAAGCTTGCACAAACAAGATCCCTAATGGCTTGTGCACGGTTTCTCTGTAGATGTTGTCTCTCCACCCCTGGGGCCCTAGGGCTATAACTGCCTGCTGAGAACATGGTTGGGGTGGGTTTGATGTGTCCTAACCACCATCTAAGGATATGCTTGGAGCCCTATGGTAAATAGAGTCTTACACCATTCACCTAGCCCCCAAGGGCGGTGCTTCGATCTTCTCGCCAACGGACCGTTGTGAGAAGGTCACCGACCACCCGTGGGTTGCCGGACTCATTGACCACCGCGCGGCCGCAGAGAAGACAAGGCTTGCGCCACCTCAGCGTGGTCATTGGTGCTGATGAGATCTTGCTCGCCGATGGACTCCTGAACAGCTGAAACGTTTAACAAAAAGGGCCACGAATCAGAACTCTTTGTCTTTTTGGATCAGGACCCTGTCTTTTTGTTTGAGTGGAACATCAAGATGGTGCCCAACACCAGGTTTCTCCAGGTTCTTCTCACCAGGTTTCTGCCCATCCCACGTGCCAATGCCAACATCCAGGTCTTTTCGGTCGTCCTCTGGTCCCGGTAGCTCATCAGCCACACACTCCTTGGCGACAGAATTGAATGCTTTTGTGGACTGAATGGGTGACTATGACCTCAACTAGACCCACTACCCAAGCCTGTAGACCCACGACTGCAATGCAACACCGAACGCATAATCTGACCTTTGATGATCCCAAACACTCCATGTATAGAAGATACCTAGCAGCACCACCACAAGGATGGTTTTTGGACCCCCTTGACTATCTATTTTCCATCTAATAACAACCCTTTGGATGGTGCTGGTGCATTGGACAGTTCTTTTTTCCTCACGGCAGCTAGTGATGTCGCAGAGTTTCTGCCCAGATCTCATGTGACCGCGCCCCAAATGGATCTCGACCTGCTGAAAAGCAGCAAAAACGCCCTGGTTCCGAGACGCGCATGGAACCGCACCTGAGAAAAAGTCACTGGTTTGTAGAGGAAGCTGGTCTTCCAGTCTGGTCCATGCCATCAGGTACCATGATGTTCCATGATGTTCCATGTGCGTTGAGACCTCCAGTTTTTAGTAGTCTTCAAGATGTCCTCCCCCCTTTGACCTATCGACCCCCCCCCGCCCTCATCAATCCGCCCAAGCCACCAAAGCGTGGCGGACCCTTCGCAAGGACGCCAAGTCCGGCGCGGACGGCAGCGGGTCCTGCTCTCCAGCGGAACGTCCTGCGCTCGGAAAGCAGCGGCTCAGCCACCAGCATTGCCTCAGGTTGGCCGGAGGACCCGAGTCTTCTGACTGCCAGACGCACAGGACCTGAGTCATCTGTGCAAGGTCTGCCATGACCTGCATGACTGGTGGGGAGTGGGTGGTGAATGTATATGTCATATTTACTTGCGTGGATCAGTTGGGTACTGGGGAGTGGGGCAGATCTGAAGGTCTTTACGACTCTACGGTGTCTTCCTTCAAAAGGTCAAACGAATCCGATTGGCTTCCTCTTCCTCGTGGATCCGACTGCCCTCGGAGGATCACTGGGCCGATCTGGTCCTATTCCCTTTCAATCTCGTGGTGGCCAAAAAGGAAGCGGTGAATCATCCCCCCACAAGGCTGTCTGAATCATTGGAACGGGACAAGGTGACAAGGTGCTGACAACCCCCCCAAGCAGTTTCAGCAGAACCTTCTTCTTCGGACAAGGTAAAGATCATCTAGTCGGCCGCTGGTAGCTCTGCGGAGGTCCCGCCCTCTTGCCGCTGGGGTTGAACCGTCCATCCGAAGATCTGAAGAACCATGGCGCTGCAAGATTTGCACATCCAGGGACATCAGATGAAACATGTCCATCTGGTGTACACCTACAACGAGAGAAAAGTACGCCATCCTCGAAGAACAAATGTGTATATTGAACCAACTATATCACTATACTGTATCTCTTTGTTTTCTCTCTCTCTCTCTCCCTCCTGCACCCACACAGAGACCACAAACAACATGTTCTAAGAATCACACAGAAAAAATCGATGAGACTATCCATTTATCAGCGTGGACGCCGCCTATAGCGGCGCATGTCATTCGGGGGAACATGGACACCGCGACAAGAGTGAAGGTTGCCTATGGTTGCCTCTGAGTTGCAAGGCCGTCAGCATTTGAAAGCGGACTTTGATGTTGTTCAGCTTCATCTTCGGCGAGATCTCCAGGAGCTCCTGCAGGAGATCATCCTCAGTGAAGCAGTGAAACGTGGGCAGAAACATAAGCAACGGACTGGCGAACCAAAGGACAAACCAGGATATGCAGGGATTGGAGATGATGACGAAGAAAACAGATAGGTTTTCTATACTTCATGAGAGTTGGAGCAAGCTGGAAGCTGCAAGCTGGTCCTTTGAATGTATCGCAGAGTATCAGAAAATCATGCAGGGGGACTGGAATCTATATATGCCGCCTATACCAGCTGCTTCCAAGGGGTCACCAATGGACAACCCTACCCTACTTATAGGTCTCCAGACAGTGCACCCAGACAGGAAGTGCTAGGTACATTGCCCCCTAAAATCCACCACCTCTTGTGAGCCTTCCTCGGCCAGTCCCGCCAGTCCATGCCAGTCCCTGGTGAACCCCAAAAAGGGATCCCCTTTCGTACCGAAGCCTCCGGGTTCGGTAGGACTGGGTCCTCCTGATCACCGGCCCATTTTCAGTGTGTGCTTCCTCACCGTACCGACTGGACACGACTGGACCCCTCAACGACCAGCCAGAACTCTCGGGTTCGTGACCTGCGTGGTAACGTGGATTCCGACGATGGAAGACCGTCTCTCAGTGGGTCCCGCTGCTTTCGGCCGTGTGCCTCTCACGATCGAGCGTGGGTCCCGGTGCTTTCGTCCGGTCTCCGGTCATCCGATGCTGAAACCGCCGTCCGCTCAAGCCGGAAGAGCGGAACGGAGGAGCGGAACCTGACGACCCGGAGACCATCCTCCCAATATCCTCCCTTTAAACAATGGGGCAAACAAAACCACTAAATCGACAATTTTTCTGGATACACACGTGGTGTTTGAGTTGGTGTTTGGAGGTTTACAAAGCAAACCCACCATATCGCTTGATGGTAGACCACGAACAAGACCGGCCAAGCATCATAGACCTGTGCCAGGTGTGAGGTCGACCTTCGCGGCAACAGCACCAGGGCACTGCCATACCTCGACAGAAGATCGATCTCGGTGTGGTGGGGGATGGTGCGGGAAAACGAGGGAACGGTGCATGCAAAAGCAAAAACCGAACTCATGGGTTTGACTGATCCACTTTCTCTTGTATATCAGATGTATCAGTATATAGTGGGGTTGGCAGTGGTCTTAATGAACATGTGTAACTTCCAATCAATGCCAGCTGGGATCACCAGATTTGACCCTGACATCCCCGTGACATCCCGTGACCTATATAGCAGGAACAAGGCCTTCAATTCTGCTCATCTTTCCGGACTTAAGGTCTGCTACTGACTGCTACTGAACTCATTACTCCTCTGAACTCCTCCGACCCGATCTGGTTCCACTACTGAGCCAAGCAAGGCACGCATGGGCCAGCAAGCAAAGGGACCTCGCTCCCGAACTTCCACGCATGGACGCTCGCAGCTCCTGCCACGGACGTCCCGACACTATAGGCGTTTAAGGCGTCGCCGCAGCGCGCGGGATATCGCCGTACGCGGGGTCGCCACATCTTCAATGGCACAAGGCCACCACTGGGGAGGTTTTAACAATTGAAAGAATCACCATATTAGGCAGAACTGGCCATTGACCTGAACTATTTTTTTTTCGCTTGGACTGCCCTTCAACCCTCATGCTCTAGACACAACTCTCTGTCTTCTCTCCATCCCCAACTCCATCTCCAACTCGACGGAGTCCTTGACCTCAGGTGCTAGCAACTCCAGTGGTGCAATGCCAGCCACCTGCAGCAGGTCCAGCTTCAGCACCGCGTGCGCGCAGAGCGACAGGTTCTGAGCTTCGCCTCGGTCCAAGACGTGGAGGGCATGCGGATGAAGTGGATGGCATGAGGTGAATGAATCTTCTTCAGGGGCCCTAGGGGTCTTGATCAGGAGGGGTACTCATGAACTGAACATAACACAGTTCACATGTAACACAACGTTCATTGAAGCGGAAGGGTGAACGATTATGACGTCTAGAAATACCAAACAGGGTGGTGTCAACGTGTCCATGGAACGTGAGGCAGAGTGGTTCACGAAGCAAATCCCTCAACTGGCGCCAAGGAGAATTCAAGTAAGACCCACTCCATGGGGAGTCTCTCTAATTCGAGCGATTCGAGCTCATGGTGCAAGCACTCGAGCGACAAAGGAAGGCTTCATCTCCATGACTACACCCATGAATGGGGGGGGTGCTTGACGCAACCTTGATAATGAATCATTGTATATAGAAGAGTGCTCCTTAAGAAAGGCTTCTTGATGCTCTGGGTATAGTTATAGTTACCCGCCATGTTACTCCTTGGCAACACTTGGTGTTCGGTTCATCCCACTCACAGGGTCGTCTCCTCCAAAACTGCTGTGAACCAAAACCCCCTCACAGTCGCCATGCACACCCACTCCGCTCCGAGGGCGAACCGCCGCGCCTGCCAAGATCTGCCTCTTGAAGTGCACCTTCCTGAGCCGATCTTGACAATTGACCTTTTTGACAACACATAGGGGGGGTCTTCCCCCGAGTCCGATGGACTGTTCTGCATGTTTTGTCCTGTTTCTTCTTCCCTCTCTAGGTAGGTAGGTCGTTTTGAAGCAAGATTCCCCTTGACATTGTGGATGAGCTTCACCACTTTTTGTTCGAATAGAGAACCTGCATGCATCTTCCTCATGTTGAAAGGCACACACACACACACTCTTTTACGGATCCCCCGCCCTTTCTATTCAAGGTACATTAAGCTTTGAGGGCACCGACAAATTTTGTTGAGACAGTATGTTGCTTGAGTCCATAGGGATATATGTGGCATGATCATAATGTAAACTGTCTGTTGATGGAAAGAGTCCAGAAAACAACAAGCAAATTCTCCTCTTACCCTGCATATCTCGTGGATCATCCTGAGAAAATACAGGTGGTCTGCGTTGCATCTGCATGTCAGGAATCACACTCCCTGGAATTCTCATGGTTTTGTGCATGGCACCACCGTCGTTTGGTCAGACCGGAAGACTCATGGTCCGAGTCCCAGGTTCCACCTCCATGAGGATGGGAGTGTAGACACAAAAGACTCTAAAACCATCGGTTCCGCTGGTTCCCCTCTGCCACCCAAACTTCCCCACCCCACCCGCCATCGTCACTTCCCAACCCCGCCCAGTGGCCCAGAGTTACTCACACCACGCGAACGGACGGCGCCGGACGGGTCGCCATTTCGTCGTCCCCCGGTGACGCACGGTCCACGTCCGCGCCGTTGGTCGCCGGTCGAGGGTCAAGAGCTCTTCGAGGGTCTTCAACTCCGTACGACAGCGCGCCCGCGCCAAGGCGCTCAGGAACATCCCCAGCCAATCGGCGCCTCAAAGATGTTCCAAAACACGAAGGAAGGCGCAAAAGGGAAGGGGAGGGAGATTCTGAGAGAGTTAGGCGGCTGCAGGCAAATTCCTTTTTGGAGTCCAGGGGTGTCTGTCTCTGTTTCTTTGTTTTCTGAGAAAGGATGCGATATGATGTGATGATGTGATGCTGAACGGGTCAGTTTAGGAGCCTGTGGCACCGGACCAGCTGCCACTTCCTAAAAAATACCCAAAGCACGGCCCTCAAAAAATTAAGCACAACGCCGCCTTTCTCTACTTTCGCACGTCTTGGAGATGAAGGCTGTAGATGTGGCATGTAAAGGGTATATGTTGAAAAAGGCTTTTAGAAGGTAACCACCGTGATTGCAATTGTCCAAAACATGTTGTTTTTTATTGTGTTGCCATGTTCATAGTTTCAATACATGTATTCACTCAGTCCCAAAGATGCTCTATTTTCACATACAGTTGTCATTGATCACACCTTCATGCACAAATCCTTTTCCAGCAATACTCCCCCCCCAAACGCCCAGTCACACGGGACTTCCCGAGCTCCAAGTCGACGCTCTTTTCGCTTCGCCGCTTCGCTCCGCTCCGACGTTTCGCTCCGCTCCGACGCACCGCACCGTGTTCGCCGAGCGACGGAAGAACGGTTTCGTTCCATGGCTTTCATCTAGGAGCTCTTGCGCTCGGCCGAGCAGCTGAGTGAGCCTCGACCAAGGGGTCTGGCTCGAGGCGCGCGAGAAGGGGGCTGCTTGGCGGCAAGAGGTGGAGCTGGGTGGGAAAGAGTAACAGGTTTGAAGGTTGGGTCATGAGAATTGTATACCTGTATTCCCCAAACAGTGTGGTAATACTAGGGGTTCTTACGGCCTAGTGGTTATAGTTATAGTGATACACTCTTTGGGGTCTCTTGCCGGGATATAGTCATGTTGAGATGCGGGGGATTCCCGGATGATCGCAGCGGACACCTTCTGGATTCTGTTGTGACACCTGGTCGAAGCAGCCAGATAATACCATGGAGGAAAACCACTAAGCCACTATAATCACCATCTGGATGGCCGAATGACGTTTCATGCTACACTGTAATAATATAATATAGTACCGGTAATGTATAGACATGTATAGACTCTTGATTGATAAACCTTCCAATACCTAGGTATGAAGAGGATTTTCCAATTCAAAAGGGGAGGTTGATTAATCAAGAGTCTACGTTAATTATTTGTCCCCCGAGGTGATGTCCTTTCTTCAACAATTGAAGGGTCATTCTTCCTGGCTCACTGCTGTGAACGAAGAGGGACACAAACCAAGACCCAAGTCCTAGAAGTTCCCAAGATGTCCACAGAAGAACGAACGCCAGAACCACAAATACCAACTCCTCCCAAAACCTGTCAATATAAGTGGTAAACATAATTATGGCGGTTTGTCCACATTTCCACCAAACATATGGCGCGTTTCCACGTGTTTCCACCGCCCTCCTTTCATTCCCGGAAACCTTCACCACACCGTCTGGTCTCCCTCCGCTTCTCCCGTGCCACGCGACAGCCGTGCGTTGGCCTCTTCGCCGCCCAGGCCCGGCCCCAGGCGCGAGAGCGCCAGGGCCATGGACGCCAAGCCCCGAGGGCCCAAGCACGACAGGTTCGTTTGGGCCCAACGACCTCGGGACCCGCTACCCGTAGAGTGACTGGGGAGTGACTGGGTCGGTAGGTCGGTGGGTCGGATCGTATTGGGTGGTGTTCTTTCCCTTTTGGTCGGTGGATCGCCAAGGCACATGGGGGCGATCTGAAGGAAAGGATTGAAATCACACTATATCCTAAACCATCGCCCAGTTCTTCCAGATGCACGGACGCATCTAAACGATGTGGCACGATCTTTTTGGCGTGGACGTGGCGAAGAGGATGTGGCGAGGCCCGTATGGGGGGAGAGATGTGGAGGTTGGGGTGCTGGGTGAAGTTGTTTGATGGATATTGGATTGGGTTGGATTGAATGCTGAACTGGATGATTGATTGGAGGATTGATTGAGAAATCGAGAAGCTCGTTGTGTGATTGTTTGAATGAGTGGTTGATGAATTGATTGGAACAGTGTTCTACTGGCATTAAAACCCTCCAAAACCCAGGTTCCTTTCATGGTACATACCGTATATACCGTCTCTTGTATTGATGCAACTGAGGTCGGCTTGCCCATTTCCAGATCGTTGGGGTTCCCCCAAGTGGATGTACAGGGGGGGGTTGAAATGTATATATACCCTAAGGATCCATATACCCTCTGAGAAGGTACTTGGATCCCTAAAACATAAAATAGTCAAAGTTTCTAAAGAGTCCACTTTACAGCAGTCGAGCTTCAAATGGCGTCTCGAACCGTCTCCAAGATGTGCAAAGGCAATTGATAGCTCCGTGCACAAGCGCTGGCCACCGCCATGGCATGGTGTGGCAGCAAGGATCCTTGCACCGCAGAGGGATACCTTGCACAAACGCGGTGACGTGACGTGAAGGGAAACGACGCACTGTTGGGGATGGTGAACTGCAACCCCCCAAAACATGAAACACATTCAGATGGTGCCCTTGATGATTGATTAGTTAAAGTGTTTTACGAAACACATGTAATTAATCACATTGTACATGCAACAGCTCTGGCATGTGGGACAAATGCAAAACATATCAAACAAATTATTCAACAAAAAGCAAACAGGCTTTCTGTGGAAAATGAGTCCTCTCGACGAGTCACTGCTCCCAAAATGGCGCCAAGACCTGCGAGAGAAACTCGGTGAGGAGTCTGCGATCCTCCAAATGCCATGCCAAGTATTGGCAAACCATTGGCAGTGTCCTTGCTTGCCAAGAGAGGTAACACGTGACCTGAACTAGGACCTGTCAAGCAAAAAAAACAAATCCACACCATCCTTCCACCCAGCGTCTGAGGCCACAGTTTGAGCTCCAATACGAACTCTTCGGCAGCGAGCAAACTCCGCGCCACCTCCTCCGCCACCTCGCGGTGCTCCTGGAAGGTCCTGACGATGGCACCCCAAGGAAGAATCACACGTGAGGCATTTATGATACCCTACAAGTCAAAGACCTCATTTTACTGGGGATTGTCATACAAAACCAATACTAAAGGAGTTCAAAGACCAGGAGACTGCACCTGGGTCGTTGGACCTGATACCTCTTCAAGTTCCGGCCCTGTCGCTCCGACCATATCAGACCTCCCAAACCCCAACCATCTCTTCCTAGGGCTTTTGAGGCTACAAGCCCCTGTGACTACGAAGGTTTGAGGAACTCATATTCACCTCAAAGCCCCTTCGTCGACCAAAGAAAAACAGGTGGTCCGGAAATCCAACATCCAAAGGACTGCCCTGCCAAGTCATCCCCCCAACCCCAATTAGGATGGCCCCACACCCTACCCCCCACTTTCAGGCCAGCTCCGCCCGTACTCCGCCCCAAACCTCCCACCGAAACCGTCTCCCCCCGCCGTCCTGCAAGCGCCCAGGACGTGGAGGAAATCACAGACCTCCCGGCCGCCCAAACGCCTCACGCCGGAGTCGCGCACCGCGCCCCAGAGCTCCTGGGCCTCGTCGCCGCGCATGGCACGGCCGTGGCGGAGGAGGATGAAGTGGGCCTCGGTGCCAGCGCAGGAGGCGCGATCAGCAGGGTGCGATTCTTTGTGGGGCGAAACGGTGAAATGCCCAAGAAGTGCGGCTCTTGGTGTAAGTGATGAGCTGTATAAAGGTAGATTTGGAAGCATGACCATCAAGGGAGCGCCAACAAAAACAAGGACCCCGACGAAAAGGTGACTCATATGGCAGAAGGATTTCCCTTCAAGAACTGTGACCTCAAAAGGTTCCAGTTCGTTGTCCCTTCAGTAGTGCCTCAAGAAAAGCGCAAAAACATCACATGTCACTTGCCAGGACACTGAGAGCCTTTCTTGCAGCGAGCCTGTCCTTAGATCCCAGAACAAGCCAGCTGTCGCCATAATAAAAACCTGAACCTTCAATCGTAGCAGTTTTTTCTGGCGAACCAAGGAAACGAGCACTTTTTGGAGTTTCGTAGCGTTTTTTGATGAAACGAGCACTTTCTATTTCTTTTGATGAAACGAACATGTTTTCAAGATGTTGAACACTGAAGTCTTCTTGGGCCAAAGCTGGAAACCCGCAAAATGCGCGCAAAACACGCACAAATTGCCCCAAAATGAGTGCAAATTGAAAAGTGGCGAACCACCCCAACATGGGTTGGTTATAGAGGGATCCATGTGCGATTTTTGGGCACTTTTGCAAAACGAGCGCTCTTTTTTTGTAGCGAAGGAAGCTTCAGGAAGTGATACACACAGAGACAGAGAGAGAGAGAGAGAGACGTGGCTGGCGACCCAAATCACACCACCAAAGAACAAGCCAAACAAAACCTTGGTCTTCTTCTCAGTGTCTCCAGCCTCGCCATGGCTTGGGCACTCCCCACTTCCGAGAGCCACGGTCCACGGCCGACGGGCGCACCCGGCCGTCGGGCGCACCCGGGCGCGGCCGCGCGACGTGGCGGCGGCGCCTGGTCGGGCGCGACGGGGCTGCGGCCCTTGGGCATGGGCTTCCGAGCGGCATGGGCGATCCATGGCTCGAAGGCACGCAGCGCCAAGCGCAGCTGGGCCATGGAAGAACTGGCTTCTCAGGAGGATGAGTGGTGGACTGGGGCGGAAGTGTTGGGAGTGGAAAGAGGGTGAAGCGTTTGGAAAGGGGGGAGCTGGAATGTGTTAGGTTGATCATGTGATGGATTGGAAGTCCAAATTGCGTTGCAGGGTCCTGCAACCAAAGGGGCCTTCTGATGTTTCACACTGAGTCACCTGTCGTGTAGCACCCGGCTGACACTACGTAGATCAAATAGACACCCAAATGTTGTTTCGTGAAACTCAACTAAGTTCTTCTATAAATTCTGTCGCTTGATCCAATTTTTCCTCAGAGGCTAGAGAAGCTGTGGAGTCAGGGATTGCATGCCAACTGCTGTGCTTGTGTCTCCACACAAATCCGTGGTAAAGCCTGGACAGCTACACCCCTGTTGGATGGGCAACATGATGGTAAGAGGCGCAAGTCCTCACGCAACAAATCCTCCACTTGGTGATGCAAAAGTCACCCAGCTAGCGGCTAGTCGCTGGGTAGTTTTGGTCATTCCTCCGCTGCTCATGAATTGGCTGGGCAACACGCACTCAAGCACCCCCCCCAAGATTGAGGAGATTGGAGGATGTTTGATGGAAACTCATGGCCATGCCTACAGCCCACTTTGTCTAGATTCTAGATGAGAACTGCTTCCTCCCTGAAAAACGGCTTTGAAAGCAAACCCACACGGCTCCTTTTGTGTAAACAAAAACATGAACTGCTCTTTACCAGGCATGCTCACAAAATATCAATGCATGATCAATGCATGTTGAAAACACTCATCACAGGTTTTGAGGGTCCAAACCCCTGCTATGCAGGGTCAAAACCCTCCAGTTCGGAGGCTCCAATGATTCTTAGGGTAACATATTCATTCACACCACCTCTGGCAGCACCGAATCACCGAATCACGTCCCTCGCGGTGCCGTCCCTCTCCTTGATACGCTGCCGATCCTGTCACTTCGATGCGGCGCGCCTAGCTAGCTAGGAGGATGATGGAGGATAGGGTCCCCCCCTAACTGTGCTGACTGGATGACATGAACGAGTCCATTTCCCCCAAGTCGATTCGTCGAACGGACCAGGTCGGACGTCGAACGGGTCGATTCCCCCCCCAATCAGATGCTCGGAGGGCGAGGGCGAAACACGTCTAAACCCGACAGGGCTCCGATCCCGTCTCCGAAACGGAGACCGGTGGGATTCGACCCCCCCCAAGACCACCCACACCTGGCGCATCTTCGAAACGGAGGTGGGCCAGGAGCCTATAGGGAAATGCGTATCAAGGTAGGTCAACAAGTACCCCTTTGGGCTCCAAGTACCTCGGAAGGCGGAAGTTGGATCCTCCTGGCGCCCACCGAAAGAAACACCTTCTTGGAAGGTACGACTGGAGCCCTAGGGAATGTATCAGTGTAGGTAAAGAATGGTATCAAACAATGACAAACACTGCATTGATTGTATATAACGGATTGCTGATCTGATCTATCCAGACTTCCCCCCGTTTCCCACGCCCAAAACTCGGCTCCTCCTGGCAGAAGAAGCTCAGGAAATCGCGCCCGGCGAGGCCCTCGCCAGTCATGCCCTGGCCATCGGTGGTCATCCATGAAACATAGCGAAACCATCCCAAACACTCCCAGCATCCTCCAACAGGTCTTCTCTAGAGGGTGGTTAGGCCTTAACAGGTCTCAATTGGTGACCTGTTGGAGGCATCTATGCCTCCGGTGACGCCCTAAACCACCCCCGTCTTGCTGCTCAGACGAACCCACAGGGGCCACCAAAAGAACGGCAGTTCGCCCCAAAAAGACGACCTAAAACAGGTGACGCCCCTGTGAGTGCCATCCACTTCCATGATTCTTCAGGTGGCGACCCTGGCTGTCTGGAATGGCCACCGAAGTGGAGAAAAAGACACATGAGGTGACAGTATAGCTACAGCCTAGAAAACCAAACAACCAGAAGCAAATGGTTGTTCCAATATGGCAACTGAGATCCTTTACATGACAAGTGGTTCGGAATGGCGAAGCATCCGATTGTTTTTGGTTGTTTGGGTTTCCAGCAGTGAACAATGCCACAAGTCAAACGGTTGCATCGGGGGAGGTCAAGATATATGAACAAGCATCCCACCAGCACCTCCCTCTTCTGAACCGCCAAAGAGGGGTCCGTATGGGAAACGAGACATCCACAAAGGGCTCGTAGGTTGCCAATACATCCAACGACTTCATCAAACTCATTCCATCCTAATACAGTAAGTATCCGTGGGCCATTCTCGAATTTCTCCTTTGATGCCAGCCTCGCCCTGGTTGTGCAGGAGAAGAGTGCTCAGCTGTCGAGAGTCCTGCCGAAGGACCCATTCAGATCCAAAGAAGGGAGTCATTCGAACCGCTTCCACCGGGTTTCCTCAGCTGCCTTCGAACGCTTCCACAGGTTAGGAGCTAAGAAGAGCTCACGGAGTGCACTTAGTATTTTAGTTGCAACAGAAACTTACAGTGGAAATGAGAGCACATGGCACGAACCCAAGGGTGTTTGTGGAATCAACCAGGTTCCACTGGCCAATGGGGGGTGTTCAATGGTAGATCTTGGGAGCAATGACCCACGAGGATAGCTGACCCACGAGCTTTCGTCAAAGACCCTGAAGACATCTGAAGTACTACTCAGTGTACTACTCCTTGTGGATCAATGCAGTTGAAGGAACAATGTCTTTGCACCTCATTTCGAAAGGCATACTTTGCTACATTCCCTATATGGATCCCTTGGTGGGTAGATCCGGCAGCTCATCCCAGCTTGGCCCTGAGCTACGGTGAGGACGGAGGCATTTGTGTGGCGGGTTTGGAGGGTGCAGTCGCACCTTCTGAGAAGGTGGCAGTGGATCCATACGGATTGAAAGTTAAAGGATCCTCTATGAATACCCACCGGGCTTAGTGCTTTGGGTAGCAATCAAAATCAGTCCTTTTGAATCCTTTTGATATAAACCGCCATGCGCTATGCCTCTGTGCCTTCCAACACACCACACAGGTGCCCAAACCAAACCACAGCAGCGGCCCAAACGAAAAAAACGCGGAAAAACCCACCAGCCCAGTGCGGATTCGTCGATCCGTCGATCCAGCGACGGCACGCGCAGAGGCGCGCCTCGGTCAACTTCAAAGAGCCATCGATCCTCAGCAGGCGACGAGTTCTCGACGCTCAGTTCCACGGAACGCTGTCGTGCGGTAAAAGGCGTAAAGCCGCTGGGCGCCCGGTTCGTGGCACAGAGAGAAACAAGGACGAAACTGAACTGTGTTCCGTGGACACATAGATGAACATCTGATTCAGTGTCAAGAGCATCATTGCCCCAGCCCAACCCTCCCCACTGCGTATTGCGGACTCAAACCAACGAAAAAACACAAAAAAACCGCGGGGCCGTTATGGCACCCGCCATCAATAACAACCCTTTGGGCGGTGGTGGTGGTCCCAAATAGTTCCCTTCACTTCCCTTCCTCCCTGACACTGAAACGGAGCAAGGCGTCTCCACCACTGCATCGCAAAAACCTGCCGGACATCAAACGAGGAAGACAACGAGCGTTGGTGGCCTACTAACTACCAAGGCTGCCACATGCGGATGGTTTTAAGCTGCAGCCCCAAAATGTTGTATTCTTCTTCGGATGAAATGCACTATCTATAAACTGTAGGGATCCACTGCCACCTTCTCAGAAGGTACGACTGGACTGGACTCTAACCTGCCAAACAAGTGCCTCCGTCCTCACCGTACCTCAGGTTCGGTCTGTGGATCCATATAGGGATATCGTAGTGTCAGTTTCAAAGGAAGGTCCTACCGCCTACCGGGCCATGCGTACGATGCGCAGTAGTTGGAGCCTAAAAGGAGCTGGCTCACGGCTTCCAAGTCAATGCTGCGACTCTTTAAGCGAGTGTTCATCAGCACATTCCTTAGAGACGTTCGCCGTACCCTACTGCTGCGTGGGGCCATTGTGAGGACGGCAGAGAAAAAAAAAAACAAAAAACACACACACCAAAAAAGGATCAAAAGGCAAATGGAAAAAAACAAACAACATGTGCCCAATATAAAAAACTGTCCCCCAAAAACATCCGTTACATGTGCCCACTTGTTATAAACGCTTAGCAACAAAAACCCTTGCGACACATTGTTGCCTCGGAGGCTTGCAATAGGCTCATGCATCTATGGGCTCTGGCCAACCAGTACTTCTAGTCAGCCTGGCCCCTGTGGTTTGAGTTGTGAAGAACAAGGATCCTTCCTAAACCCTAAACTGCTTTTGGAGAAGAACATCCCCCCACTGCAGGATTCGACGATGGAGCAGGGCGCCTCACATCACATCCGCGACAACGGACCGACCAAAAGCACCCAACTCGATGAAGCACGAGTTGGAACACCAGTTGGGTCCAGTTGGGCTTCAGTTGGGTCCAGCCATGTCTTTCTTCGATGACCCACCTGTCGTCTTCAAACGTGACGTGTCACTCTTCAACGTGTCACCTGGCCATGCCAGGTCCTCGTGCATTTCCGTCACCATCAATCCACGGGCCACCGCAACCAAGCAAGGCTCTCGTAGAGACCCTGACGCATAGAGAGAATCCCACAAAGGACCATGCAAAGCCTGGCGTCGATGGCGTCGATCTCACAGGCGAAGGCACATCGGATTGCTTGCGTCCCCAAGAGGCCGTGTCGTCTTCTGCCTTCGGGGTGCCCGAACGCAATCGATTCTCTTTTTCAGAATCCAATATGTGTTGAGAAACAACAGAAAGACACCTCCCTAAGAATCAAGGACCCTCAAAGGTGAAGGTTTTGAGGGTCCAAACCCCTGCTATGCGGGCTTAGAATCATGGGCCAAATAAAAGAAACAATCTTCAGGATCCAAGCCCCTGAACACATCATCATGATATAATCCGATCAAAGTTCAACATGTACATACAAATCCCAAGGGGGGGGGTCCTGGCCAGGAATCCGATCTGAGACTTCATGGACATAAAAAGCAATGGACCCTCATAATGTGTCCAGCATTTCCCCTGGGTCCCGGAGTCCAGGGACCATCCAGTTCGGAGGATCCGGTTCGCAGCTGCCGGGGGAAGCCAAGGCGTCGACAGGCGAGGCGCTCTACACCCCCCCGCCAGCGGCGGTTCGGGCTTGCGAGCATCATCGTAACGGTCTTTTTCCCTTTTGGATCCCTCCAAAATCATTCCGGTGGATGCAAAGAATTACAGCAAACCAGAACCTGCAGGTTGAGCAGTCTGCCAGGACCTGTAGACTGTAGACCAAGAGGCCCAAACCAGTTCCCTTATATTAGAATATATTAGATCGTAATGGATTCGATGGCAGATTTTGTTCGACAAAAACTCCAGACAATGCCAGGCAGCTCGGCGGTTTGGGCTAGGCCGCCTGCACCACCGCCACCATCCGCGTCCTGAAGACAACGAGACAACGTGCTCTGAGTGGTTGGTTTACTGGAATGCATTCTTGCTCTAGTGCAGCAAATCAAACCTTGGTTCACGAACCAACAAAGGCCAAAAAGCCGCGCGCATCAAGGAACGCGGAATGATGCATTACCGCATTGCTACATACACATGTTGGAACCTAATAATACATCTGATGGAACTGATTCACAAACTACACACACCAAAAGCCATGATCAGGTCGTCCTCTTGTGCTTGATAAATGGCCACCCCGCAGTTGACAAGGTTTCCCAGAATCGGCAGAAAGCACGTGCGAGCCCCAATGCCTCAAAGGACAAAACCCGACAGGGCTTCAACCATATCCGTAGAAGCTGGTTATAGACCCCGCAAACCCACCTTAACCATCGTCTCAGGAGGTAGTTGGAGCCCTAGGTAAATGTGGATGGCAAGACTGGCAGAGTCGAGGACGCCCTGGAATCACCAGTGGTCGTGCCATGAGAGAATAGTTCGGATGATACTGGATGGCTCATGAAATCCGAAAACAAAACAGGTGGTGGTTTTCGCTCGTAACCATAAATGTGTCAGGGAGTGTGACACTGTGAGTTCCTGAAGTTTCATTTTGGACCTGCGGGCGAGTTCGGTACGTACTGCAGTTCTGCAGCTTTCGGGAACTGAAAGGAATCTTCCGAAGTTGACCGAATAAATATCGTGGGCGTGAGTGGGTTTGCTTTTTGTAAAGTGACCACCGTTCGGAAAAATCATCCAAACGATTTCTACGCAGCTCTTCCCGATTGCTCACACACATGATGAACAATTAACCCCCTCAGCCACGGCATGGCGAGGCTCAATTCAAAACATCACTGGAGGATTGCACAAACTTGTCAAGGCTGTCTATCAAGAAATGTAAGAATCAACTTGACATCAGCCCTCCAAGTCCCTGATTTATCGCGGTCCCTTCGTGGTATCTCGTGGTCCCTAGTGACATGTAGACACGCTTCTGTATATACGTATTTTGGATCATACAATGTCATACATTGGGGTAAATGTATGCAACTATTGCAGTCCTCTTTTCCTCTTGCGCTTTTCCTCTGGGCTTCATGCCTGTGATCGCACATGCAGCCCCATAGAGGGTTGAACCTATTGCAGTCCCATAAAGGGTTGAACCTATCCCACACACTCCATGGGACTGGAATATATGCCGCCCCAGACAGACCCCCCTGGCAGCACCCCAACTGATCGGCATAGATATATATATATATATATCAGTCCCATTCGTCGCATCTGGGTCTTGCGGTCCGGATGGTCTGGGTCGACAGAAGGACCGATTTTACCGTGCGTGGCCACACAGTGATTACACAACCTTGCGAGATCTCATGCTCAGGTGACTGACCTCCCTTCGTTCGTGCTCATGAGCGCGCATTCATCCGACGAGTGGCCACACAACATCCGCGGGAAGGCCGTGATGAGCGAAACATTCACCACCTGAAGCGACGCGACGGCTGAGCGATGGGCTCTGGGCTGGGCGAGCTCAGCGTGTGAAGGAGTCCGGAAAGAATCGACTCTGAGGTTGGAGTGGGAGTGGGAGTGGTTTCAACCTGGAAAACCCAGTCCCAACCAAACAGAAACATGGGTGTGGAAAATGCAGGGCAACTGAGATCATTTACATGACCAAGTGCTGGAACTTGCGAAACATCCGTTTTTGGTTGAGACTGGGTTTCCATGAATGGATGTTACGATCTGGTGCATGCCATCTTCTGGCATAGCATATTCAAAATTTTGACCAATCAGAACATAGACATAGAGAAGATTGGAGAAGTATCTGAAAATCACAGCATCACATTAAATCAATCTAGAACTCTTATATGTTTTAGTCATTATATAGATCTATAATCTAATGCTTTGTGGTGTAGTATTCAAAACTCCACGGCAAACCCAACATCTCATACTCTCACTTTGCAGCCCAGCGCGTCCCGTCCGAAAGCGCTTGGACGGACAGCGATGTCCCGTCCCGGTCACCAAGGCACATCCTGTGGCTCAGTGAACAGCAGTGGGAAGACACAGAGCGTCTGCATGACCAAATACCACGAGTCCAAAGTTCTTGGTGTCAACACCTGCACCGGTGGACGCCACACAGGACGGAGGCCACATGACATGGATGTCTATGTAGGTGACAGTGCCCGAGTCGGTTCTGCAGTTGACTCCCGCAGTTGCCCACGAAAAATACAGGTTAACCTATCTCCCCAAAAAACCACTGAGTGGGTAGGTGCGCACCGATTCATCTTGATTGGTTTCAGTAGATACATTCTAATCCTCAGCACATCTTGTCATGAACACTGGGATAAGTTATACTATCGAACTCACCCCAAAAACCGACACGTAAAGAAAAACTATCTGCAGACTCCCCCGGTTGCTCTAGGGCTCCTGGCCCATATCCGAAGGTGGTTAGAACCCACGGAGGTATCTAGGCCAGAAGCCCTAGGGTTCATATCAAGTTTTTGTTCGACAACAGGCCATGGAGCTGGTGAACCAACATCAAGATCTCTACATGCATCCGTGCTGCCTTTGGATGGAGTGATCATTCTATTACATCAGGCATTTTCACCCTGTCCCGTTCGCTGAAGAGCACATCATCTTCATCTCCATTCCACTTGACTGAAATGTTCAGCGCGAAACAACCAAAGCAGCGGGTCAAATTCACCCGCGGAGTGACGAAAAAAGAGACGCCTTCGGGCAGAGGACGATGAGGCAACAAAGAGGATAGGAGATCCTGGCGACCCAAGTCACGCCGGGCCGGTTGACGTGACGGGCGCGTGACGTTCCGCGCGCGGAGCGCCGAGCGGGCTTGGCGACGGGTGGTTCCTGTGAGCGCCAACAGCCACCATTGAAACGTTGGAGGTCGTGGAAAGCTTTGATCCTCCCAGGCATGACCCATAGGCACCGCGCACCGATTAAAAGGCCTTTCCGCCAGAATGGTCAAAGCACTTTTGATGTTCATGACAACGGCCAGGAGCCCAAGGCACCACCAAAGGCCAAGAGCTGCCAAAGGCGCGGTTCATTCCATGTACTCCAGGATCAACACAAGAAGACATCTTCTAGAACCGCATTTTCCATGTGTCTTGTTTCACCCCCAAAACAAACTCCCAAAGAAGAGGTTGTCATACAACCAGCAGTCTATATATCCCTAGGGCTCCAACCACAATCTCAGAAGGCAGACCTAAGGTAGACCATTCTCTACCCCTCAATGTGTACTCGCCACATCCCACGGGCTGTGTGTGGCCACGTCACATGTTGGAGATGTCCAACGACGGCTGTAGCTGGTGCTCCTGTGAGGCGGGTGGACTCTGCTGTAGCTGATTTGAATGGCGGGGGTGCCTGGAGGATGAGAGATCATGGAGGTATACAACCCCGTCAGAACTCCTGGCTCAACTCCCAAGCTTCTAGGATGATGTTTGGTATATGTTGTGCAAAGCTTTAACAAAAAAACAAACAAAACATGTTGGGGAAATGTTGCCGTCCGAGCTTCGAGCGGCGTTGTTTCGTGCTTAGACTGCACGATCCGTACCCAAAGATCTCAACATTCATCAACATTCATCAACCCAAGTGAGGTCCAGGATGTCTCCTAACCTCCCATGGTCGAACGAGGCCGACTGCAGGGTGGTCTGACTGGGCTGACTGCAGGTTTCAGATCTTCTGGGGTCGTGGTCATTGCCGAAAGGAAGCTGCTCGAGGCTGAGGAGCGGTCTATCCCCAAAAGAAAAAAAAGACCGAAACCGGTGTCTCCGGTTTAAGAACATGGACTGTTGGTGAAGTTCAAAGTCATAAGAAAACCAACAAATAGCACATCAAACACACAAACACCAAAAACACTGTGTGTGTTTTGACCCTCACAGTCAAAGCTACGTGTACAGGCCCTCATACAAAGAGTCACAGAAGATGGTCATCCCTGCCAATCTCCAGAGCTTGATACCTTCCTAAAGGGGCATTTGGTTATATTAATTACAATCCCTACGGATCCAAGTACCTTCTCAGAAGGCACTTGGACCCTCCAAACCTACATAACCCACAGCGATGGGATCTCCTGGGTGCTTTGGCCTTGACAAAGACTTCTTAACACAGACCAAAAGAGGCCATAATTATATGTACCTGGAGTCTCAAAGTACCTCGGAAATGGGTACAAGTACCTGTTCTTATAGGGCCATGTCCCATTTTTCTAGAGTAGTTTGGAGGGTCCAGGTATACGTATCACCAAACAACCCAAACCCACGAATTGCGCCACCTTGCGACACTTTTGAAGCACCTTTCCATTTCCGTCGCGAACACCAAGCACGTCGCCGGCAGAAGAGCGCGACCGGCGCCTTCTGCATGAGCAAAGGGCCCTGGATGGCGATGAGGCGCAGGAAAAGCGCTAAAGCCATGAGGCGGCAGCCTGCCCATTCTTGGCCCGCTGCGAACGCGCTTGATGCTTGCAAGAGCGCGTCTACATGAACTTTTCGATGCAAGCTTGCTGGATGGAATATGATGGAACGGTGGAGGGTTTGTTTCAGATTTTCCCCAACTCCCCGACCTGGCAAAACAGCTGTTCTCTCCTTCTCCCTGTAGCATCAGAGGCGCCTGTTTTCATCAGATTCACCAAGGCTTCATGGAACTTCGCGGAGACCTGCAGCCCCTCGGCATCCTGAGGCTTCCGCCTCGGTGTGACCGTTCACTCACGCTGAAGAAACGCAGGTTCATGCCCAGCATCTGGTCACTTAAGATTCACATCCGTAGTATCTGGTTTGGCACTTCCAAATCCGGCGTGTGGAACCGGACTTCGGGTTTTTGTTGTTTCAACTCGGGAGGCCGAGGAGTAAGGAACCATCAGAATCCGGGCATCATCGATGAGTTTGGTCGTTTCGAGAACGATCCGACGGACCGACGGACTCGTGGTTTGCCCGGCGATGGACTCGGGAGATTGCGGGTTCTGAGGATGGACTTTGCATCTTCCAGTCCAAGAGGCCCAGTGAGGATCACAACATAGCAGGTGTTCTCATGGTTGTGGGCAAGACTCTCCAGTCGAATCTCGAGTTGTGTGGTCCAGGTGGTACTCATATATCGTGTTTTTTGGGGAAGCATCCAGCTATCTGATTAATTTATATACAGTAAATGCACACACAAAAAAAACACACACATAGAATATCATAGAATACCAGTCCCAGGGTTTGTGTTGTTTTTTGGCCTCAACAATAATCAACCTCAGGTGTAGTCACGTGCAGTTTCACAGGTACAGCCCCCGATCTCTGGTTGATGGAAGTGCCATCTGGAATTCCACATTATGAATGAGCAAGAATGACCCACATTATTGATGGGATGACTGACTTCTTGGAAGTGGGCAAAAAAACACATCCCAAATATTTGTTTTTTGCAGGTTATCATGTTTCCTGTGTAAGTGTTTGGACCAGTTTTCCTTTCATCATGGGTAATTAAGTTCTTTGTGTTTCCGTTCTTTTCCACAGCGAGGCGACCTCGCCCGCTCCGCCCGATGAACTGCGACCTCGAGGAATCAAGTGGCAATCGACTCCAGGCGATCCGCATCATGGCTCTGGCATGTGAACCGCATTCCCTGAAGACCGGAGGGATCAGCGACGGGTCTTCAGAGGGTCTGAGACGGGTGGAGCCCTACGAGTACTGTAGATATGCCTACTTTCAAGACGTGTTCATGGCGACTAAGATGTGACAAGGCTCTTTTAATGTGACAAGGCTCCATCAACACGATCCATCTTCACTTGCATCTCCTGGAAAGTGGTATTGGCCAATTCCCTTATATCCCATAGACTCCTATATGCCTACATTGACCCCCCCCCTGGCACCACCCCAACTGATCGGCATATATTCCAGTCCCATGGAGCATCTGGGTACGGATCTGGTATGATCTGGTCAACGCTGTTTCAGCCGCTGAGGTTTGACAGATCTCTCGGGGATGGACAGTGCCTACCTGGTTGGAACAAGCTCGACATGACCAGGAGTTGCAGGATTCCATCAACAGTACCACCAGGGTTCTTTTCAAACTATAGACTTGATGCTAACTTATTGTTTTCATCTAGTTCTGGAGAACACTTGCTGGTGACATGCGACCAAAAGCGTCCAAGATGTCAAAAAGGTCTATATATTCCCTCACAGGGACTCCCAGTTTTCACCTGCGTGGGGACAACACCCCTGAGTCAAGAGGGCAAAAGGTGACAACAACCCCAAGGAATCAAAGAAACCTGGATAAACCTGGTGTTCTCATTCAACTCCTATGAAGCCGCTTGTCTCAACATCACCATCTTCACCGCACCGCTCTGCTTTTCTGCGGATGGTCTCCGTGAAGGATCAGTCCACCGTTGAACTGCCCAGAGAGCAGATCCCCCCCGCCTCAAAACGATTTTCCAACGGTGGGAGCCAATACATCCTGACTGCGGCAGGATGAGGTGAGTCAACCCTCGAAGAGCTGCTGGGTTCTCTAGAAGACACTCATCCCTGCAAACAAGTTGCTGTCCATAAATGTGTCTTTCTCAAATGTTGCGTTGGGCACTAGTGTGCATTCAAAACAACATAAAACAATGCAAAGATATGCAAAGACATGTTCAATGTGACAGCTCACGGCAACATGTCCCATGTTTGAAGTTCACATGTTGGAACATGGCAGCATGTTCAGCCCCATGGCAAGTGTAGCTGCATTTCACAGGTATGGAACGGTCCCAAAGCCAAAGCGTTGATCAGAACGGTGAGGATTGGGTCACGAGGTGTTGAAAGTTGAAACCCTTCCTTGGCGGCCTAGGAATCCACCGACCACGCCAGTTCTGCAGCTGAAACGAGATCCATGAACGTTGCGGCAAACACATATTTCCAATGGTCCAAGGACCCTGAGGGATATGAAATTCCATCTCACTTGAACTGGGCAAAAAAATAGGACACAGATGGACATGGAATGTACACTTGTGTGAGATGGGTCTCCCAGCACTCAGCAGTCCAGTTGGTCTCCCTCGATAGCGATGCTGATTGCCGAGCAACCTTTTGACATCAGGGAACTTGGTAATTGCTAGCTCAATGAAATCCCTGTAATGCTCGGCCATTCTCATCCCAACATCAAATCAGAAAAAAAAGAAACAGCAGTTGATTGCGGAACTCTTGGAACTCCAAGCCTACCAAAAGTTCATAAGCCTGCTGTCCCTGCTGTTCTCTCTCATCGGTCCAAACAGGGTCCAAACATGCTCATCGACTCGACTCCAAGGATCGAAGACATTGGAAAGCCAGGATCAAGAACGTGCCCAAATCCAACCTGAGCCAAAACGGGACCTGGGCCTCGCCCAACGAAAACCCCTCTCCGAGGCTGGAACCGTCTGACTCTGGCCGGAGATCCCAAGCGAAGGTTGCACCTCTTCTTGTTTAGTGGGGTGTCTCCAATCTCCCCACCTCCCTGCTGGCCCCCTGCCCACGGGGCACTGACAAAGGGTTGCATTAGTGACGGAAGCAACCCCATCCGCCTGTTGAACTGGAAACCTGCTTCTTGGACATCTGTGATCATTGGTGTATCAATCCGACGCAATCAACAAACCATGGGTCGGTTTTCTCCACACGTGTGTGCACACAAAGAACTGAGCTGGCATTCAGGCCTCACGTGTTGGGATAAGAGAACCTTTATAGATAGTTCTCGAGACGCCTGTCGGGTTTGGTGATCACCCAAGCTCTAGAGTCGATGAACGTCAAAACATGCTTCATCAAAGGAGATCACAGGGCCAGAATGGGAAGACTGAGACTTCCATCATGGATGGATCACGTATCTCTACGCATCTCTAGTTTGGCCAAGGTGGCTCCGTTTTCTTCTTGCTATTTAGTGGTTTGTTTTCTCTGAACTCATGCCTTAGTGCCGCTTCCAGGAGAGTTTGTCTTTGCTTGGTGCAACACCCGAAGCAATCCTGCGGTGCGGTTGAACCTCCCCTCGTGATGACAAAACCGCAGTGATCCGCAGTGCACATTGCTCTCAGAACTCAAGTGATCACTGCACCAGTGTCGGTACAAAACCACAGAAAGCTCGTGTTGGTGGGTTCAACGTGCTTCAACTCACTTACAAACATATTTGGTCAGTGGGTTCCATCATCCCAAGTAAATCGAACGAACATAAACATATCTGAAACCATCACCCAGCTCGGCCCAGAACCCGGCCGTTCCGCTGCCCCAGCAACGCGAGGATCCATAGCGCCGTGGGGTCGGCCAGGATGGAGGTCTCCATGGCGCTCGGGCTCGGTCGTGAAATCACTCCGACAGAAATGGCACGGCGGAGGGCAGATTCAGGTCGAAGCCAGCTAGAAGTGGTCAGGCTTCTTCAGGGGTGTGCTTTGGATATTAGTTCTTGATCTATTTGGCTTCCGGGGACTCTGAGGAGCTTCAGCTTTCTGTTTGCCTTTTGATGTTCAATCTATTCTCCCTCAGACATGGTGTAAACCCACTAAAACAAATGGCTAGCCTCTGCTCCTGGCTCCTGCCGTCATCTCCTTTGAAACAAAAGTAGTCCCAGAGCACGGTGACTGGGTTTCTCTGAAGACAGGAGTTTGCCAATGCTCCTTAATGGTTGTAGGACGTCTTAATTTGAAAACGATCGGACTGGTACATGAACATGGAGAAGTTAATTTCACAAGTTTTCTTCAAGGCTTCTCTTCAAATGTTCTAGGTATCCTTGGATTGGATGGTTGTCAAGCTTGTTAACATTCACCGCACTGTTTCGGATGTTGGAATGACCCAATCGCCACTCGCTGCAACGACCCACCCTTTTTGCCGCCGCCGTCCACCCAGAAATCGACTCCGTGGAATGGCCAAGATCTCCTGGCGGCAATTTCAGTAGCATCCACCACCAACCATTTGGGGATGCGTCGGCAAGCCATGATCATCGCTAACCTTGTTGCCTATCCACGGCATGTGTCGGATCTCTAAATCTTCTTTTGCGCCCACTCGGACTCTACAAAGATTATTTACCTTGTGGATCTGCAGCGGAACGTACTCCAAGACAATTGCAAGCCTAATGAACTGGCCAAAGAGCAAACGCCGGTGACGGCGTCCCTCTGCCCGTGCTGGATGTCGTGTTTTTGCACCACATGGCGCCTCAGTGGCTAGCTTTCAGAAGTGCTCTGAATGGATTCAGGCAGAAGGACAGTCCGACAAGATACTCATTCATCCATGCCAAATGTCCAAACGGACCTCCCCTTGGTCCTTTGTAGTTCGTATCTACGGCCGAGAGAACACCATTGTGGTGCCTGATCTAAAGGTTTTTTCTCAATTGGCCTTGATACTAAGGCTCACACCCAAAAAACTCTTTGACTGGCAGCTCTTAGCTCTTGCTTCCTCAACTCGGACCTGGTATCCCCGCAAAGCTCGCAACTCAACTCAAGCAAAAAGCTAAATATTCCATACTATAGCTTCTCAACTTCAATTATGAACTGACCAATGAAACCCGCAAACCGTTGGCATCAAATGAGGTGGACAACCCGTGACTAGCGCACAAACTTGACTCGGCAACAAACCTCTACCGCCGTGCCTTCAGCAAAGGGAAATATCAGGCTCACCTGACGCAAAGGTCAATTGAGAACATGTGGTATCGACCACATCTTGGGACCACATCTTGGTCTCGCCCCAAGAAGCTTCCATGCAGATTGCATCTCTCACAAAAGAATAGCTATACTCTTCCGCAGACTTGACAACTAGTCTCTCATCATAAGTTGTTTTTGTCGAACACATTCTGAGAATGGAACAAACCTCTGAGAGCCCGCATGGAGAAAAATACATGACAACTCTGCACACATAAATATCCGGCTGCCTTGGCTTTACATCAACTCAAATCTTCTCCCTGCATAAAATGTGGTTAAACACTTCGGCCCCAGCTGCTTCAGCGTGCCAAAAACCAGCTCACCTGGCAGATCAGCTGAAACATGGCATGTGCTGCAAAGATTCAAGGCCAAAGTGATAAACCTAGCGGTAGTATCCAAAGTTCAGTTGTTTTTTCTGCTGGCTTGCCCTGGTGAACTGGACGGAAATACATGCCACGGCCATTGAAATGGATTTGCTCGAGGAACAACAATTGAAGTGGTTTGGCAAAGAATACAATAGACTCTAGATTTATCAGAGATAGTCAAACGCTATGTTTCCTTCATTGTCAGTTCAAATTGCGAAGATTACCACTCGAGCATTTCCATTCGAACAAAATCGAACTACTAGTTCTGCCAGCACCGGCGCACTGACTACTCAATAGTCTTCGTGGCAGCCTTCTCTGGAAAGATCTGGTTGCTGGCTAAAATCCCTTGTAATGTGTCTGGCGATCCACAGGTCACCAGCCTGTTCACCTTGCCAAAATCAAGCTTTGGACAAAGGCTCATGGCAATTTCAAAACGCTTTGAGTCTGCTCTGAATGTCTGGCTTCCTGCGAATTGATCCAAAAAGCCTGTCAATTCGTTGGCCATAACCTTGAATGTCTCCGCTTTCTTCATCTCATCAGTCAAGCCCTCGGCTTCTCTGACGAGTCCTTCGAAGGGATAGTCGACAAGGTCTTCCTGACCCCGTGCTGCCTTGAGATTGCGATGCAGCTGTGAAGCCATCAGCTTCAACGCTAAGGCCTCATTGTCGGTCATGAAGCCTTTCTTCTGCAGCTGTTCCATCATCTTTTGTTGAATCTTGGCATGTGCATCCTCTGCTTGATCAATTTTCTCCCTGGCCTCCTTTGCCTTTGACTCAGCAGCCTTCAATTCGTCTTCTGCGCTTTTGCAGGCTGCTTCTGCCTTCGCTTTCTCACCAGCAAATGCAACCCGGGCATCCTTCTGCTGTTCAAGCTGCTTCGTCAATCCTGTGATTTCTTCATGTTTGTTTCTCTCCTCCTTCTCAGCCCGGTCAACATCTCGTCTCCAGACTTCGACAAAAGGACCAAATTTGTTGAACGTGTACCTTCTCACCCGCTCCTCAACTTCGCCAAGCTGTACTTGGGCAGCTGAAAGGCTCTCGTCTCCCTTCTTTACATCACTTTGAAGTCGCTTCTGCTTTTCCTCCAGAGCTTTAAATTCTGAGGTGGCTCTATGATGCTCTTTGCGCACTGTTTGCAAGTGCCTGTCTGCCTCTTCACCTTCCTTTCTGGCACCTTCCACATTGCTCTTGGACTTGTTCAGTTGCTCATGATAGGCTTTCATTTTTACATCTGAAAGACATTTTGTCTCCATGACCTGGTTGAACAGGCTCTCTGCCGTCAGGCATTGCTTCTTGACTTCATCTGCCGATGGCATGCCAACACCTTTCAATTTGCTTATCGTTGGCAGCACTATCTTTTCGGCCTCTTTCCCAAAATCCTTTCTTGAGTCTTTCACTTTGGCTTGGTATACACCGATCCAACCCATAAATCCCGACTTCTCCTTGTCCTCACGTCTGATCCGATCTAGAAGTCTCCTGAGGCCATCCATCATTGATTCTACATCTTTGAAGGCACGCACGTAGTGAAGGGCTTTTTCCTGAACCTGCTCAGCAACTCCCTCTCCAGCCTCCACCGGCTTGTCCATCCCGTACTTAGACAATTGTTCTCCCATGATGAAGCGCACAGCCTGCAACTGGAGATGAATGCGTCCTAGGTCCTGCAGCCTTTGAAGCAAAAGCATGGCATCTTGGTTCTTGAAGATGTCCTCCACCAAGTCTTTGTCTGGCTTCAGCAGTACTCCAGCAACATCATCATGGCAAAGCGAAACAGCAAGGCTTCCTTGTGATTGTGGTCTCCACTGCGCGCGATGAAAGAGAGGCTTCAGCTTCCATGCAAAACGGCTGGCAGCGAATGCTGGAGAGCGCATCATTGTAAGAAATGACCGTCTAAGCCTAAGCTTGTCTGGATCAACAGAGTCGTTTCTCCTTGAAACAAATTGCTGGGCGCGACACACTGACGAAACATCAAACAGTGACCAAAACATTATAGTTCAGTACATTGGTTCTAATCCAACCAAAACTCGAGATTTCCACATGCTGCTGCTGTGTTCAAACAACTGGCCTGACGTGGGTCTGATGGCATTTTGGCAAGCCTCTGCCTCGGATGACCTGAGTGCAACTATCAGAATCATAGTGACCACGCTCAAAACCTGATTTGCAAAACGACCGAAGGAGAATCCGTCGCAGCTCACAATGAATTTGGAAGTTAAACCTTGTGATGCACTCCTGGGTCCTTAAACCTTGTGAACCTTGTGAATCTCGTCTAAATCAGCTATATCAATTCTGCCGCGATAAAGTTTGCTGTGCATGCTTGACAATAAGCTCCCTGCGAACGTCACACCTTGTGCTTCGTTTGCCAAGTCAGCATGTTCATGTTGTCTGTTCTATATTGTTCTCATTGCCAATGACAATAACTATCAAAAATCATATGTTCTCAGGTCTCTACACTACCAGTAACAAACATTACACCATTGAACAAACTACATATGCACTCTAAGACTCTCAAACAAACAAATCAACATCGTGTGAATATTAGAACCTCTCCACACTCCAAAACAAAGACCTTTGCAAAATTCAAACCATTCCATGCCAACGAACACATTGAATGGTCCCCCAACTTCTGGGTTGTTCCGGCTGGAAGCGATTTCATGAGGCGCCCCTTAGCATCGAAGGTGGCCTTGATGGGCGGCGTTTCGCGGACGGACTTAGCGGAGTAGCAGTGTTCAGTCGCTCCACAAAATCAACCATGGTCTTGGGAATGGGGAGGTTTTTGCGTTCGGGATTCAGTAGTTGTAGACATTAGAGCTATTAAAATCCATTCTGCATCCCTCTGGAGGCCCCACTGGGGCTCCAACTGAAGAGCTATGAGTGCCACTCTCCATGCCATTGACTGTCCGACCTGTCAAGAGGACACGGTTGGGTTCCGATCACCACAACAGCAGTGCACCTTATTCCTGTCATGCCGCTTGTGTATCTCTCAGAAACCAAACTTGCACCAATTGATCTAGATTCTATAGATATGGTGTGTTCATGTTTGCTCAACATTAGAACAGCCACAAGATTTGTAAGTAACTCTTCAACAGCAATGTCTTCATCTGTGCAGCTGCCTGACATGCAACCAACCCAAGCGGCATTATGTTATGAGCTGACTTCGGTGCAGCTGTATCATCTTCAATCCAAACTCACAAAAGTTTGATAGAAGGTCCAAAGATTGTTCAACCTGTAGGGAATGTTTCCTTCAAGGCAAGGAAAAGCTTTGGTTCTATTTCCCGAGAGCGCCTGCGAAGGGTTCTTCGTAAAAAACATCTGCAGAACTACACCTGGTCTACATCTTCACATCTTCACCTCTGCACAATCACGTTCTCACCTATCTCTCTGCTCATCTTCACGTCTGCGAATCTACATCTCTGCTCATCTTCATCTTCACACATCTACATCTCTGCTCATCTTCATCTTCACACATCTACATCTCTGCTCATCTTCACATCCTCACATCTACATCTCACATCTTCACCTCTCGCTCTTCTTAACTTTCTCTCTTAAGGCCGGGGGCAGTGCCGCCGGACCGCCACGACACGCAACCCTCTGCGGAGATCGTGCGTGTCGAGTGAGCGAAATGCAGGCGAGAGTGCGATTTGGTTTTGTCGCGGGAACCCTCTGCGGAGATCGTGCGTGTCGGATGCGCGAAATGCAGGCGAGAGTGCGATTTGGATTGTCGCGGGCAACCCTCTGCGGAGATCGTGCGTGTCGAATGCGCGAAATGCAGGCGAGAGTGCGCTTTGGTTTTGTCGCGGGCAACCCTCTGCGGAGATCGTGCGTGTCGGATGAGCGAAATGCAGGCAAGAGTGCGATTTGGTTTTGTCCGGCGCAACCCTCTGCGGAGATCGTGCGTGTCGGATGCGCGAAATGCAGGCGAGAGTGCGATTTGGTTTTGTCGCGGGCAACCCTCTGCGGAGATCGTGCGTGTCGAGTGCGCGAAATGCAGACGAGAGTGCGATTTGGTTTTGTCCGGCGCAACCCTCTGCGGGCGGAGATCGTGCGTGTCGACTTTGTAGTACAACTTTAGTGCACGGAGCAATTTTGGGAGCTGGAAGCTGAGAACTGGCGACTTTGTAGTACAACTTTAGTGCACGGAGTATCTGGGGAGCTGGAAGATGAGAACTGGCGAAGTTGTAGTACAACTTTAGTACGCGGAGTATCTGGGGAGCTGGAAGATGAGA